CGACAAGCGTTTTGGGAACCTCTTGTATAGACAGCTGTGCCTTTTTGATGATGGTTTTGGTAGATCTTGGAGTTTCAGCTCCGAACAACAGAACTGTCTTCATGATTGTATTGGAAACCCTGACTTTGGTGTTGGCCGACATTACTTCTTAGTACCAGATATTCCTCAATTGTAGAGAAGCTGTTCGTACTTTTATAACCTCCTCAGGTACACCATATATCGAAGGTTTTCCTATCCACTATCAAATGCTTTCTCATAGTCCAGGAAGTTTATGTATAGTGATGAGCTGTATTCAATCAATTGTTCAACAATGATTCGTAATTTTGCGATTTAGTACAGTAGTATGCTTATATAATAATTCATATGTATAAGTGGAATGTTTGACATCTATCAGTTCAATGCGAATCAGAACAGTTATTGCGAATTTCAGAATATATTTTCCCAATTCTAATAAGATACTTATCTCACTGTCTGGATATCAATCTTAATCAGTTCAACCAGTGAAAAGTACCTGGTGTTTTTGAAGGAAGTAATTATTATGTGTATAATAACTATGTTTTCAAGTTGAAGATGCAAAAGTATTGCTTATTGGATTAAGTGTCCGATAGAAGATATGATTATAGTTATTAAGCTTAAACAAGGGATTTCCGTCGACTGTTATCTTTATTGTGACATTGGTAATTCAGTTGGCCTTCTTTTTCAAGTGGTTTTGAAGTCTACCAAGATTCAACGGGTTAATTGACGTGCTCTCTAGTTTGTTTTCCGACAATTATCATTTATCAGGTATCTGTCTCTGTTTTCAATCCCTATAGTAGATAAGTTATTTGCTTTTGGACACCACCGATAATATTTGCCCGCGTTATCAGTCTCTGTTACTTCAACTCCAAGTTTTAATGCAAATGTTTATTCCTTGGTTTTTCGGTAACTTTTTTTGATTTCTTCCATTACAGATATACATTTCGAAAAGTTATGATGCATCAACTCATTTTGAAAGTACCTGTAATGATGTGTTAGAAATGTACAATCGAATAACTGGAAAGCCATTTGATTTCAGTAAAGTTACTAGGAGTTTGGAAGATGAATAATAACAACTGTATTGTCACTGTAAATCCTCCCACTGAATAAATGGGAATAATAACAACAATAATAATGCCAATGGTTATCACTTTCATTATTTAAAGCGTACTGACGACATGATTGGTCTACCATTTTGTTTTCTTTTTTGATCTACTTAATAATTCCCATTCTACTATTCATTCCGATGATAACTACTTATATTACTGTGTGCGAATATTTCCATACTGTTATATAACAGTGACATGTTCTTGTGTTCATTTTATAATGATACTTTATCATTTATTCCTACTTACTTACTTACGCCTGTTACCCCTAACGTAGCATAGGCCGTCCACCAGTTTTCTCCAACCAACTCTGTCCTGGGCTTCCCTACCCAGTTCTGTCCAATGTTTGTTCATTCCCCTTATATCTTTCTCTATTTCTCGTTGTAATGTGTTATTTGGCCTTCCTCTTTTCCTTTTGCCTTGAGGGTTCCATGTGAAGGCTTGTCACGTGACGCAGTTAGGTGCTTTTCGTAGTGTGTGTCCTATCCACTTTCACCGCCTCTTCCTGATTTCCTCCTCCACTGTAATCTGGTTTGCTCCCTCGCAAAGTAAGTTGTTGTTGATGGTGTCTGTCCAACGAATCCGAAGTATTTCGCGAAGACAACTGTTCATAAATACTTGTGTCTTGTGAATGATGGCTTTCGTAGTTCTCCAAGTTTCCGCTCCGTACAGTAGAACTGTCTTCACATTTGTATTGAAAATCCTGATTTTGGTTTTGTTTGAAAGTTGTTTGGAGTTCCAGATGTTTTTCTACTGTAGAAATGCAGCCCTTGCTTTGCCAATCCGTGCCCTCACATCTGCATCGGATCCACTTTGGTTGTCAATGATGCTGCCAAGATATGTAAAGGTGTTGACGTCCTCCAAGGCATCTCCATCAAGATTGATTTGTCTGGTGCATTTTGTGTTGCATCAGAGAATTTAGCTTTTTCCTTTATGTATGTTGAGACCAGCTACTGCAGAGGCTGCTGCTACACTGGTCGTCTTCTCTTGCATTTGTTGTTGCGTGTGCGATAGGACAGCCAGGTCATCTGAGAAGTCCAGGTCGTCCAGCCGCGTCCTAACCGTCCAGTTGATATCCTGCTTCCCTCCAGATGCTGACGTCTTCATAATCCAGTCGATCACTAGGAGAAAGAGAAAGGGTGAGAGTAAGCAACCTTACCTGACACCGGTCGTCACCTCGAACGAATCTGTCAGCTGTCCTCCGTGCATGATTTCGCAGTTTAATCCATCCTAAGATATGCCGAATGATATTGACTATTTTCTCAGGCACGCCGCAGTATAGAAGAAGCCTCCATAGTGTTTTCTCGTCCACGCTATCGAATGCTTTCTCGTAATCGATGAAGTTGATGTAGAGTGGTGAGTTCATTTCAATTGATTGTTCCACAATGATCCGTAATGTTGCAATTCGGTCAGTACATGATCGATCCTTACGAAATCCGGCCTGTTGATCTCGATGTTGGACGTCTACGAAGTCCTTCATTCTGTTTAACGATACCCTATTGAGGACTTTGCCTGGTATTGAAAGAAGAGTGATGCCTCTGTAGTTCTCACACTTGCTGATATCACATTTCTTTGGTATTTTGATGAGGTATCCTTCTTTCCAATCTGATGGTACTTGTTCCTCATCCCAAATCTTCTTGAAGACGATGTGAAATATTTCCGCAGTTGCTTCTACATCTGCTTTCATTGCCTCTGCTGGAATGTTGTCTGGTCCTGCTGCTTTGCCGCTCTTGATTTGTCTGATGGCCATACTTATCTCCTCAATCGTAGGTGCGCCAATGTTAATTGGGAAGTCCGTGGATACCGCTTCGATGTTGGGTTTGTTCAGTGGGTCTGGTCTATTCAGGTGTTGCTGAAAGTAATCTACCCACCTACTTGGCTGTTCTTCAGTGTTGCTGATTACTTCGCCTTCCTTGCTTTTCACTGGTTGTTCTGGTTTACGATAACTTCCGGCCAGCTTCTTTGTTGTTTCGTACAATTGCCTCAAGTTTCCGTCTCTTGCAGCCTTTTCAGCCATCACTGCTAGATCCTCGACATATTTTCGTTTGTCAGCTCTGATGCTCTTCTTCCCTTACAGATATGGTCACTTTGGTTCTGGTTAGTGTGGTCCGGTGAAATCCATGTGGCTTTGTGAATGCGTTTGTGCGGGAATATTGTGCCACCGATGACCAGTTTGTTGAAGGCATATAGGTTTGGAAATCTCTCAACATTTTCGTTCCTTTTTCCCAGTCCACGTCGTCCCATGATGTCTTCATATTCAGTGTTGTCCATTCCAACCTTGGCATTCAGGTCTCCCATAAGAATCGTCAAATCCTTTGGTGAACATTTCTCGACAATTGACTGCAGCCTTTCGTAGAATTGATCTTTAAGGTCTCATTGTAGTCATTAGTAGGTGCAAAACACTGGATGACGTTCATTGTAATCTCCTCTTTCTTTATTTTGAAGGATGCTTTAATGATCCTTGGTCCATGAGATTCCCATCCTATCAGTGCCTTTTGTACATGTTTGGACAGCATTAGTGCAACTCCTTGTGTATGTGAAGCGTTTTCCTCTTCATGACCAGAGTATAACAGCAGTTCCCATGAAGCTAGTCTCAGTTGTCCTACCTGTGTCCAATGCGTTTCGCTGATACCGAGCACCTCGACGTTGTATCTTTTCATTTCTGCCGCAACTTGAAATAGTCTTCCAGTCTCCCACAATGTACGAACGTTCCATGTACCTAAAGGAATGGTTGCTCTGGTTGTCAGAAGAGGCATCGGCCTCGTGACTTCCGAGGGAACTCGGATTTCATCACGCGACGTCATAATTCTTCTTCCAACTCCCAGGGCAGAGTTAAAATGGTTTGAATTATTTTTTCTGGTTATCGTTTTTTTGGCAAGTTAGTTTTTTGACGGAATGGGGTGGCTTACCCCATGTCCAACCCTCCTCCTTTACCCGGGCTTGGGACCGGCAGTAGCCCCGAAGGTTCTACTGGCGGAGTTTTATGAATCCATATGTTCCATGATTTGAGTGAGTTTGTCTCAATGTTTCTGGATACCCAGAAGCTATCACATCACCGGACAAGAGAACATTTAGTTGTATTCTGGAGAATAATGGAGGGGAATTCTAGTTCTAAGGAGAAGATCGGTGTTTCAGAATCCAATTAGATAATATAAGTCAACCAACCGATAGAGCAGGGTGTGTGAGAGGACCGAACTGAAAGGATAAAAGGGATTGAAGAGAAATAATGATGTATAAATGAGTAATATGAGTAGGTGATAGTAATTACAAGGAACAAGTCTTGAGATATGCAACAGACACAGGTCCTTCCAGAGGTAGATAATAACCCTTGTGTGAGTATGTGTTTCCTCTTAAAGCTACTCACTGGAGGGAGGCTGCAATGGCTTCGGATGGGAGAGCATTCCGTGTTGGGACATAGCTAAATGATGAAGAGTGAAAGCATACACTAGTTATTGTCCCTTGATTTCAGGTTTTTCGAGTGTCATTTGGAGGGGCTTGGTGGTGAAGTTTAGGCAATTTGTTTAAGTTAGACTGACTTGGGGTACTTTATGTGTTACAAGTCATTATAAAATCATCTACTATTCTCTCCTAACTTTACTAAAATAATCCTAAGGTTTGGAGTCTTCCTTCTCAGTATTAATCAGTCAACATTATAATCCACCTACTTACCTGTCTGTGCGCTAATTCCAAGGGATTTCTATCTCCTAAGAAGAATGGGATGCGATTACAGCGAACCCCAAGTCTGGGCTGTATGTTTTAGGAAAATTTGCTGTCTTTTAATAAAATGAGGGTTATGTTAGCCTTGGCCTCGCACTGTGAGTAAATAATTTGGAACAGAAGCTACCCCTTCCTCTATTGTTTTAATGTCATTTTACACCTCAGATGAATGCTCTTCGCCTCTCATGAACACCCAGATCTTTATGCAGTCTTCACAGATCAGTGCGTTTTAGAAATTTTATCTGGAGCTTAAAACTGCTGGCAGAACAGGAGAAGTGCTTGATCATAGGCGTCTTCCTTTAGGAAGTACGGAAACATCTTTGATTTAAACAGGTATGTTGGTCTTCACATTCAGTCTAGAAACTGAAGAGCTAAATAGTTTACTGATATTAGAAGTGTTTGGGGAGCCAAATTCAGAATAATTTCCCATAGCACATATAGAGCCAAAGTATTCGTCAATCTTTGCTTCGAAAGTATTAACAAGTATACTTGCTCGTGAAAGTAATATTGAAAATTGGATTCAAAACATTCGTTACTGTCGAATTCTTAGGCGTTGTGATCAGCTGTCATGGATAACCAATACGATATTGTTGTTTTAGGAACAGGTCTGAAGGTAATGTCATTTCCTTTATATTATTATCGTCAATCTTCGTAAGGAGTGTATACTTAGCAGTCTAATGTCGATGGATGGAAGGAAAGTTCTACATATTGACAGAAACAGTTATTACGGTGGCGATATCACATCCATTACTCCTATCGACTCACTGTTTCAGTTGTTTAAAGTCGAAACAGACACTTCGAAATTTCAGCGTGGCAGAGACTGGAATGTTGACTTAATTTCAAAGTTTCTGATGGCTAATGGTACGTAAGGACCCACTTGTTTGCCAACTATTTATTGCAGGAAAATTGGTTAAAATCCTTGTTCATACCGGTGTAACGCGATACTTAGAGTTTAGAAGTGTAGAAGGAAGTCATGTTTATCACGCTGGTCGTGTCTACAAAGTACCATGTAACGAAAGTGAAGCACTTAATACAAGTATGATGTTCATATCGTTCCAAATTTCGCAGAACTAATGGATCTTTTCAAAAAGCGTCGTTTCAGAAAGTTTTTGGTCTGGGTGATGAACATAGATTTGGATAATCCGTGTACATGGAACTGTGTTTATTCGTCACCACTGGATATAAAAAAGGACTCCATTTCTCACGCTTTTAATAGTTTCAATATCGACAAAGACACTCAAGTAAGTAGTTATTTCAATCCAAATGTAAATCAGTAGCGTCAGCACACTTTTTCAAACATTTTTACTTCATATAAATGTTCCTCACCCTCGTTTTTTCAATGGTATTAAGGATAACGGCTTTCAGTTAACAGTATGAATTTTTATAATCACATTGTACAGTTATAAAAGTATATTTACCGCTACATTTCTTATTCTTTTCAGAATTTCATAGGGCACGCAATTTGTTTGTTCCAAGATGATTCATACAAAGAAAGTGTCCCTGCTATCGAGGTGATAAGTCGCATGCAGCTGTATAGTCAATCTGTTTGTCGATTCGGTAAATCACCATATCTTTACCCCTTGTATGGACTGGGCGAACTTGCCCAAGCGTTTTCTCGCCTGTCTGCTGTATATGGTGGGACTTATATGCTTGATAGACCTATTGACGAAATAGTGACAGAAAAGGGTAAAGTTGTAGGAGTCAAATCAGGTAATGAACTTTTCAAATGTGGTATGGTTATTTGTGATCCAAGTTATGTGCCAACCATGGTGAAAAAGGTTGATCAAGTAAGTCAAGCATCCTAAAAATAACTCTAAGTCTTTGATAAATTGTTATGATTATAAACGTATGATTGTTTGCTAACATCATTTGAATAATGAAATTAAAATCTCGTAACAGTCTATTTTTTTCTACGACTACAGACTTCATAATTCAAGTAGTTTGCATTTCCAGTGCACATTATCGTAATCTAAATGGTTGTTAGTCCGCTTGTGTTCTTACTAAAAGGCTATCATTATATATTGGCATTAACCTAGGCCGCATAATTGTAGCAACAGACCACTCTGACGTATAGTATCCTATCTGGCTAGCATTCCTCAATTTCTGTTTCGATTATTAGGATATGGTTTGAAGTAGCTTACAAAGTTTTCAATTGTTGGCAAAAACTTAATTTAGGACGACTCATTATATGTATGCAAAAACGTGATTTTGAGATGTTATTTAAATTAATACTATTTTGATAAACCATTTATGGGTAAATTCGCCCTGTTCGACTTTTTAAGGTTGTTCGTGCTATCTGCATCCTGACACATCCTATTGCGGAAGTGCAGAACTCCCTGTCAACCCAAATTATTATTCCTCAAATCGAAGTTAATCGCAAACATGGTAAGATCGTTCACTGTGTGCATATTAGACTTATTTATTTTTCTAGATATTTATGTATCGTGCGTATCTCACCAACACAATACATGTCCTGAAAATTTCTTTTTGGCGCATGTGGCTACAATCGTTGAAACATCATCCCCAGAGAAAGAGCTTGAACCTGGTCTAAAGCTTCTTGGAGACATTGAACAAGTGTTTTATTCTGTGCAGGATCTTTTCGTGCCTACAGATGATGGTCGTGAATCTCGGGTATGATTAATGCTTGCATAAATCGGGATTTTTCTGTTGTCTCGGTACTAAAATACCACACCAGTTTAGGCTCATTTAATCTCGAAAGATATTTCTATTCCTATCATGTCACTATTCATAAACAAGTATTTTGGTTGTTAGAGGTTTCGCAGCCCCCTGAAAGTACGCAAAAGAACCACAATTACTGCTACAACATACCCCGATAACATTTTTTTGGCGTTACCCTACGGGTTTCAACTCAAATTACAGTAACAGAATCGAAAAGTTATGTCCGATATGCGCATCTCAAAAAACGTTGACATCTTTCATGTGAATCTAAATATACAAATTCAGTAGTCTCTAGTCCCGACCGTAGCCTCTGCCTTGGCGTGATGGTCAGGCTTGCCTATCTGGATGACCTGACCGAACTATAATGGGTGGGACATACGTTCCTGTAGGTTCTACACTGCCAGGCAGGTCGATTGGAGAACGGTGAGACTAAAAGCAGTAACTTAAGATCTGAGGGCAAAGTCGTACTGCTGACTGTAGAGAGGTGTGACAGCAGTAAAGTGTTTCCCCCGGACAACCAGCATCTGCAGCAATGCTGCCTTCTCACAAGCAAGGAAGCGGTTAGAAAAGGTGGACGCTATAAATGTCACACCTCAGCTGACCTCGTGGATTTCGGTCTCTGGTGGTAAGACTTTTTGAAAATAGAGGAGCTAATACTTCAAAACCTCATAAAAAGGCAGTGCGTGACCGGCCTCAAGCAGTTGTCCCTTGGGCTCTGCGGTCACGCTCCCAGGTCTCTCAGACCAACACTAACCTACCTTCTTTTTCAGGTTCCTCAAGAAGTACTCTTCTACTGTATGGGCATCCAGAAAACGACATCCGTTCTCATACACTTGAAACACACGAGACCAAATAATTCACAATCCAATCCTTATTAAACCTCTTAATAACTCTTTTATCTCTACGACTAACCTTTCTCATACTCCTTTATCACCCTGCAACGCTAAAGCAAGCGGTTCGAGTTCCCAAATCGTTTTTCTTGGTTTCCTGAAGCCCTATTCTAAACTACCTGTTGGGGCTTTTAATGTTCGAACCTTGTGTCAAATAGGGAAACAGGCTTCCTTAGCTAGGATTCTGGAATCTCATGCCATCAATGTATGCTGCCTCTCCGAAACGCTCATACAAGGTCCAAGCGAAATCAATAATTTGATTTAACCTTGTTCAGATAGGAAATCAACTCGGTTTATGCTCTGTGTATCTGTAAGCCCTGCATCTGCTTCCCGTGGCCTCGCTGGTGTTGGTATAGTATTCAGTTCTAGAGCAGAACTAGCTCTCCTAGACTGGATCCTAGTAGATAGTCACTTGTGCGCTGTCCAACTAAACGGGACAGTAAGGACTGGGAAGGATAAGGAAACTCACCGTTGCCTCTTCGTTGTCTCTGCCATGCTCCCACTGACTGCATTTGGGATGAGATAAAAGATGAGTTTTACAGAAACCTCTCTAACCTTCGAAAAGTTGGGCGCTCTGATGTAGTAACAGTGGTGAGCGACTTTAATACTCAAGTATGTGGACTAAATGAAAAGGAAAGACACCTGGGTGGATCCTATTGTGTCACGGCTTGTCGAACAGATAATGACAACCGTCGGCAGCAGTTAGGTTCAGATAAGTGCCTATTCCTAACAAATACTAACTTAAAGCATAAGGAAAAACATATTTCGACATGGTAACCCCAAAGTCAACTTAACGCAGGACAGAACTAGACTACACGCCGTCAACCACCGATAGAGAGGCCCGACAGAAGACTGCCGCTCATTCTGGAGCACATGTTTAGACCCAGATCATGCTCTAGTTCGAACGCGTATTTGTTTGCGACTTACCGGACGTAGGAAATACCCGGCAAGGAAACCTCTTAGGGTTCTACCTAATGATAGCAGAGCTATGAATATATTTCAGGAGCAACTAGAAAATCAGTTAGGCGATCATGTAAGTGTTTCCCATCCAGAGGCAGTTTGGAATGATGTCACTGCTGTTTCCACAGCTTTTTGATATCTGCTGGTAAGGTAAACCGTAAAGTTAAGTAGATGTGCATTTTAGTAGCATCTACGGAACTGATAAACGCTCGTAAACTCATCCCGCCTGGCTCTGAGTGCGATGAGGAGCGGAGTCAGCTTAAGCGCAGGTTGATAAAAAGCCTACGCAATGACCGTGAAAAGTGGTGGATAGTGAAGGCGAGAGATGGAATAGGCAGCGGCGACAGGCAACAGTAGACAGTTATTTCGACTTATCAAGGAAATCGGTATTAGGAACCCGAATTTGACAGACTATTTCGGAAAAAGATGGTCTTACTATTCATTCTCAATCCAGGAGGTTGAATCCATGGGCAGAACACTTTAAGGATCAGTTCAATTCGCCTTCAGCCACACTTCGGTTGCCCATGATCCCCAGTCATCCAAAATGGTAAATTAATATAAGTCCCCCGGGTCTTTATGAAGTCGAAAAAGCCATAGGAGATCTAAAGCGAGGTAGAGCAGCAGGCCTGATAGACTTACCCCTGAGATTTTTAAGGATGGTGGTCCAGTTTTAGCAGCTAGATTGACTGAGATCCTAGGTAGAATCTGGGAACTGGACGTAATCCCATCCGACTGGTCTCAATTCCTGATTGTCCCAATTTATAAGAAAGGACAAAAGTCTTCTTGTGACAATCACAGAGGAATCACTCCAACTAATATAGTTTCTAAAATATTGGCCTCGATTATACTAAGACGCCTAACTAGAGCTCGTAAAGAGCAGACTCGAGAAAACTAGACTGGTTTTCGACATGGACGTGGATGTATAAACCAAATATTCACACTACGTCAGGTCCTAGAACAAAGGCATGTTCCGTCGCCCCACAATAGTAGTATTTTTCGACCTTAGAGCCGCATTTATCTCTGTTGATCGTGAGGTTTTGTGGCAGTGTCTGTTATTAAAAGGTGTACCAAAGAAGTATATTAACCTTATACAAGCTGTGTACTCGAACACTACAGGTCGAGTGAGAGCTTATGGCGAACTGTCATTGGAAAAAACATCTTATGACTATCTTCCAAAAAACGGCTACCCACGCAACTTCATCAAAAAACATCAACCGAAATCAAGTACAGGAACCAACAAACGGATCATCCTACCATACATAAAAGACATATCGGAATACACAGCACGACTACTGAAACCATTTGGAATAGGTGTGGCACGCAAACCAATAGAATCACTTCAATCAATCCTATGTAGACCAAAGGACAAAATGACAAAGGAAGAAATCTCAGCTCGGATACAGAAAGCTCGATCGGCTTTTGTCAATTCGCGTCACCTATGGCGCAGGAGAAATATCCGTTTGCTGACTAAAGAGTGAGTGTACTGCACAGCAGTTCGCTCCGTCCTATTTTATGGATGCGAAACTTGGTCGGTAAGAGTAAATGACATTCGTAGGTCATTTGTCTTCGGAGCATTGCTCGTATATCCTGGGACAGCTGAGTAAGCACTGCTGCCTTCAGGAAACGATTACTAGTTAAGGATAGTAGATCAGAATTGTACTATTGAAACTTCATCAGTTGAGGAGGTTAGGACATGTGTTACTTATGCCCAACCACCAACTGCCTTGTGGGGCGGTTTTTTGTGGTGTAGGAATAGGTTGGAAGAAATCTAGGGCGTCCAGACCACAACATGTCAGAAATCCATGAAGTCACTGACAAATGAAGTAAGCCATGTTGGTACATGTCGACTACCTCATCGGGGTCCGCGAAACGAAAGCCGCCGAGGGTTAGAGACCTTGAACGACATGGCTCAGATTCGCTTACAGTGACGTAGGTGCATTCATTCATTGTGTTCTCTTAAATCCTAATCTTCTGAATTCCTCATCATCTCTATCTTTCTGTTTCTAAAGTTATCTCATTGAATTATACTTCTCGAATCATATCTTCGAACCCTAATCTTCTTTGCTACTGTTGATACTTCTAGTATCGCTACAACTATGGGATTTGAATTGACAGTTGCGTCTTTGTGCTGATGCGGTATGACAACTTGAACTTATGTACTCATGTACGAAATTCTGCATTGTAACTGATTGACTGACTACTGGACGTAAGAAAGACGTTGCAAAGAAACCTCTTAAGGTTCCACTTAGTGATAGCATAGGCAAAAACATATTTCAGTAATAACTATGAAAACCCGTTTGGCAGCGATTCAGGTGATGCCCACTCTGAGGTTGTTTGGAATGATATCCAAAAAGCTGTGGAAACAGAAGTGGTATCTGCTATTAAATTAAACCATAAGTTTGGGAGAAGCAGTAGATTTCAGTAGCATCTACCGAACTCAACTCGTCTGGCTCTCAGTGCGACGAGGAGCTGAGTCAGCTTAAGCGCAGGGCGGTAAGTCTACGCAATGATCGCTAACAGTGGTAGCTAGCGAAAATAAAAGCGATAGGAAGGGCAGTAGCGATAGGTAACGGTAGACAACTTTTCCGCCTTATAAAGGAAACCGATATTAGAAATCCATCTGTTAGCCAAACTATCTGGAAAATAGTAGGCTTCTTATACATTCTCAATCCAGGAGATTGGGTCGATGGGCACATTTCAAGAATCAGTTCAATTAGCCTTCAACCACGCTTCGGTTACTCACGATCTCCAGTCAACCTAAATGGCGAATTAATGTAAATCCTCCAACTCCTAATGAAGTTGAAAAAACTACAGAAAATAACTATATGTTATTTAAAATATCTATGCTGGATTCTTATTGAGCCGGAAATCGCAGTTCATACCTTGATGAGAAAATCGTGGTCTAAAACAAGTCTTATTTTCTTTGGTTTCAGATTTTCATTTCGTCAAGTTATGATGCCTCTACACACTTTGAGTCTACTTGTGCTGATGTTTTAGATTTATATGAACGTATAACTGGACATCCGTTTGATTTTAGTAAAATAAAAAGGTATGAAGAGGTGAATGAATAACTCGGTTTTTTGAAAATCTATTTTCATGATAAAAATCTAATTATTCTGCTTCGAAACATAGATATTTCTCTTTTTGTTGTTTGAATATTTATTCATCGTTAGTGGTCGGGTTTTATGATATTTATCCTTACAATCGCTACTTTGAATATATCTATATTTATGCTTGACTTTTTTTGACTTGTTTATCAGTGGCACATTCACTATAGCGATACATTCTTTTAGGTTATTCAAACTGATTTTAATCATAGCTATTCAGTATTTTGTACTTTTACATTTCTCATTTAACTTTCAGGTTGAGATTTCAATGTGATATGCTTATTTTTTCATATATCTTTCAATGGTGTAACTTTTTGCTTTTAATATATGGCGAAAACCTTTTACCTCAGTCGTTCCGTCTTTCTGATCTGTTCTATCTATATATATATTTGTGTGGAATATATTTGTTTTTCGTTTTAATAATCTTTTAAGTTATCTAACTATCTCAACGTTCCTCCGGTGTTCAAATTCAAGCGTATTAATGATTGTGTTTATTATGTTTCCATCCAACGCATTAAAAATATGATTTCATATGATTTCTCTATTTATCATGTGAATTTTTGCTTAATACTAGTTTTGAGTTGAATTTAAATCATCTGTGTTCTTTCTATTCGGCCTAATTTCACAATCCTTTCTGTGATAATAATGTGTGCGCAATTATGTTATAAGTTAACAATCTCCTAGTCATGATATGTATTCCTTTTGTTTTGTCACTCAGTTTTAACTGTTTAAACAAATTCAGTTGTAACGCTGACAATACATGTGATCTGTTGTATGAAATAGATCTTATCATAGATCCCGATGGACAGTCCACGATCTCAATCATTTATTTGCTCGCTAAGCTGTAGATCCTACAAGCCTAATAACCAAAAGATACAACTTTCATCCCCATCCCGTAGCAACAAAACCCTCTCTTATATTAAAATTGTGCACAAAGCAAATTTTCATTTTGTCTTAACTCTCTCAATGTGGTAGATATGTTATACGTTGCTGTTGATGATGATGATGTTATACCCTAATAAAATAATCTGTCGGCAAGAGGCTAGGAGAAAGTGTACTAAAATATTGGATCAGTTCATGAAATCATTGAATGCTAGAGTAGATTATGCTAAAAATTTCAGACTTTCTGGTTAGGGGAATCTGAAATGATTAATGGATACGTATTTGCGTTCCACAAATGCAATATTCGTTTAATTTACTGAATTTATCTATCACAAAGGTCTATTAGTATTCAGCGTAGATTACTAGAGGTTGTAGTATCAAAGGGAGAGCTTTGTTTCATTTTGAGAAATCGAAATACTTGAGTCCTTTAACTAAGTTGAACAGTCCAGTTATATGTTAAACATTCCACTTATACATATGAATTATTATATAAGCATACTACTGTACTAAATCGCAAAATTACGAATCATTGTTGAACAATTGATTGAATAAAGCTCATCACTATACATAAACTTCCTGGACTATGAGAAAGCATTTGATAGTGGATAGGAAAACCTTCGATATATGGTGTACCTGAGGAGGTTATAAAAGTACGAACAGCTTCCCTACAATTGAGGAATATCTAGTACTAAGAAGTAATGTCGGCCAACACCAAAGTCAGGGTTTCCAATACAATCATGAAGACAGTTCTGTTGTTCGGAGCTGAAACTCCAAGATCTACCAAAACCATCATCAAAAAGGCACAGCTGTCTATACAAGAGGTTCCCAAAACGCTTGTCGGACACCTTCAGTAACAAAACACTGTGGCAGAGAACGAACCGGCTTCCAGATGGAGACGAAATCAGGAAAAGACATTCGAGGAGGAAAGCACACATTATGGAAATCCCCAATCTGCATTGCAAAGCAGGCCACAACTTGGAATCCTCAAGGTCAAAGGAAAAGATATAGACCAACAAACATATTGAGCCGGGAACTGGAGATCGACAAAAAGGGAATGAACAGTACTTGGTAACAATTTGAGAGGAGAACCAAGAACAAATTTTGTTGAAGTGTCCTGATTGGTGGTGTATGATTTGCATGGGTTTACAGGCGTAAGTAACATAGTGATTTACGCTTCGACTCCTTTTGATATAATAATCTTGTGACAGCTATCGTTAATGTGTGCACAATATTTTTAAAAGTATTATTTCACCCACTTTGATTGACAGCAACGTAAATTGAATAGTTAAACCCTTAGCTAAACACCAAATTAAATAATGTCAAATGGTTTAATTATTACTCGAATTCGCGGTCACTTGTTTAAATTCAGAAATAAGGCCAAATAAACCGAATAAAATAAATTAACAGTAAACGTTTTTCGGCTCTAAATAATTTCCACACATTATTTAGATCATTTCACCGTTCCTAATTATCTAATTGGTATACCACTGTTTGATAGGTCTTCTGGGAGATCATATTATTCACCGCAATCCTGAATACATATTTCTGTTGATGAATGCTCTAATGCGCGGGTTATACTTCCAAATCGGTGGTTAAAATAAATATCGTCAGTCATTATGTATAGGCATTCTGACTTCTAACCAAAGTATATACCACATAGCGTATGAATTTTGGTTTGGTTGTTGTCCATTTTAACTATGAAAATCTCCATAAAATGGACTAGAAAATATTAACCATAAGCTCACCAGCGAATAATGTCATAACAAACTATGGTCTATATTGTCAACCAAAATGAGAATGAGACAGTAATTAACCGGATGAAGTACATGAATCGACTAATGTTGGGAATCTAAACAGTTAGGTTTTGATTTAGTAGTTTTTTATAAACTAACACAAAGAATAAATTTATTTAACAAAGTAAAAAAATGACACTGGTCATTTTCACACGCACTATATAATATGATCAAACATGTGTTAAATTCACTTCATCAAGAATGTGCAAACTAATCAACTTATTGTTTACTTGAGCAGTTTATTTATCCACTCTTCGAAGTTAATTAGTATGTTCTGTATAGTCTTTTCACATACAGCTACAGATTTTAATGTTTACAAGGATCAGAATAGGAGGCAAACTTATAGTTGGCTTATTCAGTGCGAAACTGACTGGAATATATGTCAGAAGGTCTGTTACATAATTTTTGTTTGATCTTTGATTTGGCGTTGTATATCATTTGTGAACGGTTCATTCTTGTCAGTTTTGTGATCCTAATGGGCTTACAGAATGCTTCATAATCCAAACACTAATAGTTCACTTTTTTTTCAGGCTGTGAGAAATCAATATAAATGTATGGAAAAATGTACTGGTAGAAGTGTATTACTCGAATATGGGAATAAATTCTTTACCTTCTAGAAGTTGCTTTTGAATATCTGTTCGAGAATTTAGATAATTGTAACATAATGTTATTGTCGACTTAGTAATTGTTGAATGATTTAAGTAATGTTACTCTTTTGAATGAAAGCCTATTGTTCATTCATTATGTCAATGTTATCATTAATTTTTGTTAGCTTATGGGCTTGAGAATGTCACGGATATTCAGAGTTGAATAACGCTCTTGTTCCCAACATCTAGATCGAGGATACATAAAGACTAATCAAACTGAAAGTCAGAAATTATGAAGATGGGAGATATATTAGAATGATGGTTGGGATATCGAGGAGCGAGTGAGCTAAGCGAGCTAGTTGATTTGAGGATATGTGTTGCACTGTGTACCCTACAACGATCTGATGCGGATGTGCGACTGAGCGCGTCCAGTAAAACTATTGAGGTCAGCATCAATCTCGAAGACTTATGAGACATTATTTTGGGTGTTTATTTACCGCTGTGGGCTCCTAAGCAGAATGATCCGATTTCTCATTGGACAGTTTGTAATTGAATCAAAGTTGATTGCTCATTTATTTGCACTAAGAAGTATCTGATTATTGTCAGAATATAACTCCCAGTAAAACGTTAGATCCGTGATAGAAATCAATTCAGTAAGTCCATTTATTTAGTAGAGTTTTTGTACACTATATCTTGCTAGAAATCTCTTCGAATAAAAGTAACTTTTAAGATGCTATTACTAGGGCGTTTTGACTGAATAACAAGAACTACAAATATTTATTTCACTGTTTATTCACGAACTGGAATTTTATCGACATGAATACAGAATTGAAAGGGGTCGCTTAAAACAAATTTAGTCAGTTATATATGATATAAATGGTTTTGCCTATTTTCACTTACTAGCCAATCACAGCTGACATTGTCTTGAAGTATTAAAACCGTTTATATTAAATGGAAGTCTATCTTTTGAAGTTGTTTTAAACTTTTGCAATGCCAGAAAGTTAATAGTTTTTTTTACCATTACAACATCTGATAAAAGTGCACTGAAATTTTCATTTAAACCATAAAACTAACGCTATCCATTTTATTCACATTTCTGAGCATACAGTTTACATAGACAAAGCTAACAGCATTACATTTTTACTATATGTAAACAACATTTAACAGCTTTTTATGGATCTATATTTCTAATCAATAAACCTTGTATTTCAACTCAATGTTTCTAAAATGAATGAATATGTAAATTATTATTTTATTTGGTTCTAGTTTTTGCAGTGCAGGTTATGACATATGACATTCAATAATGTATACATTCATGTTTTAACACATTGTGTTTTATCATTAAATCATACAGCATAATGATGAGTCATACTAACACAACAAACAATTTTGTATATGACAAAATAGCGTAAACCTACTGAAGAAAATATTTGCAGAATGAAGCTTTTGAAAGTGTATTTTCATTAGGGATTGATATCAGTCGTAGAGAGACGGTCATTAGATTGCAGTGGACATTTGAATCATTATTATTCAGAAAGCATTCATTCAGAGGTCAAACTCACGTCTGTTAGATTGGGATGAATAATTTAAACAGATGAAACTTTAGGAACTAATTTCAGGACAATTAAATATACTACTGTTGTATACTTATTTCTCAATTGAGTTATGGTACTTTTTTTTACTTTACTTATATTGTAAGCTTTTATTTCATCCGTTAACTGTTATTATATGTTTAATTGTTCCTACATTACAGTTAATTATTACTCAGTTTTCTATTACACATGGTAGTTTTGTACATTTTGTGATGCTTCAAGGTCATTTATTTGATAGACAATCCAGTGAAACCCTCCTGGTACCCCTGTGGCTACTGCCGGTCCCAAGCCCGGATAAATTAGGAGAGTTGGGCATGAGGGTGGTGACCACATCTCTAGAAAACTAACTCGCTGAAAACGACCAGAAAAAATAAATCAAACCATTGAAATTCTGCCCTGGGAGTTAGAATGTCTTCATTCAGATGAGTTTTGTCATCTCATGATGAAAACCGAGTTCTTTTGGAAGTCACAAAGCCAATGCGCCTTCTGACAACTAGAGTGACCATTCTTCTAAGTACATTGAATGTTCGCACATTGTGATATACCTGGAGACTTATTCAAATTGCCGTGGAAATGAAAAGATAAAACTTGCTGGTACTTGGAATCAGTGAAACACATGAGACACAGGTTAGACAACTAAGATTAGTTTCAGTAGAGTTGGTATTCAGTCAGTCTCTTACAACGTAGAACTTCGTACGTACGTACATCAGTTCAAGTTGCCGTACCGCATTAGCACAGAGACGCATCTGTCAGTTCAAATCCCATTGTGGTGGAGATAGTGGAAGCATTGGTGGAAATGGATAAGATAAGGTTTCGAAGATATTATTGAAGAAGTATAGTTCACTGAGATAGCTGTAGAAAGAGAATGATAGAGATGATGAGGAATTGAGATTAGAATTTCAGAGAACACAACGAGTGGATGCGCCTGCGCTGATGTTATTCTCTGACCATGACGAAGAAAATGCTCCACATACACAATGAGTTGCACTGATGCAATCCAAACAGGCAGAAAAGGCACTGATAGGATAGGAATTTCTAGGACCCGGGATCATAAAAGAGTGCTTCAAAACAACGATTGGATTACGATGAACATCGTCAAATGCTTTGCACCTACGAACGACTACAATGAACACATCAAAGATCAATTCTACTAGAAGCTGCAGTCAGTGGTTGAGAACTACTCAACAAGGGACTTGCCATACCAATGAGACCTAGATGCCAAGGTTAGCATAGAAAACACTGGATATGAAGACATCATCGGACGACGTGGACTGGGAGAAAGGAACAAAAACGGTGAGAGATTGTAAACCTATATGTCTTCAACAAACTGGTCATTCACGGCACAGTACTGTCACAAACGCATACACAAAGCTATATGGATTTCAATGAATCACACAACTCAGAACAAAATCGACCATATCTGTATCAATGAATAGTTCAGAAGGGACATGGAGGACGTAAGAACCAAGAGAGGTGCTGACATAGCCTCAGATCACCACTTGCTGGTCGCCAAAGTGAAATTGAAAATAAAAAGGCATAGGACAACGGGGCGGACAAGATCACAACCCATGTGAGTTGTCCGACTTAATGAAGTTGAGGGAGCGATTGCAAATCTGAAGCAACGGCGAGCTTAAAGGCCTGACAGGCTTGCTCATTGATTTTTAAGGATGTTGGTCCAGTTTCAGCTGCTAGATTGACTGAGATCTTAGGTAGAATCTGGGAACTGGACGTAATCCCATCTGACTGATCTCAGTCGCTAATTTCCGAATTCACAAGAAAGGACAGATGTCCTCTTGTAACAATCATACAGGAATCAGTCTAACTAACATAGCTTCTAAATTTTTAGCCTTCATAATGCTTGGACGCCTAACTGAAGCTCGTGAACAGGAGACTCGAGAAAACCAGGCTAGTTTGCGACCTGGACGCGGCTGTATAGACCACATCTTCACACTACGACAAGTCCTGGAACACAGACACACATTTAGGCGTCCTACAATAGTTGTGTTCCTGGACCTAAAGGTGGTATTTGACTCTCGATCGTGAGGTTGTGTCAGTGCCTGTCATTGAAAGGTGTACCAAAGAAGTACATTAACCTTATACAAGCTGTGTACTCGAACACCACTGGTTGAGTGAGAACTTATGGCGAACTGTCACCGGAATTCTTTACTTCAAGTGGTGTCCGTCATGGATGTCCACTCTCTCCATTCTTGTTCAACTCTGTTGTGGACATGATTTTAGAGTTAACATTAAGCTCGTCAGATTTTTCAGGGTTAGACCTTATACCAGTAGGATCGCTTACTGACCTCGAATATGCCGATGACATAGTTCTATTCGGTGAAGACGCTGACAAAATGCAGTCTTCTGACTACCCTGAGCAACAATGCAAGCATGTTCGGGATGCGGTTTTCCCCGTCGAAATGCAAAATTTTGCTTCAAGATTGGGTTGCATCGGCAGCTGGACTAGTGATAGAGAGTGTAGTAGTTGAGGGTGTAAATCGCTTCACTTATCTTGGAAGTTTCATCAGCACTGATGGCCTGGTGACTGGCGAAATGTCAGTACGGATACAGAAGGCTTGATTGGCTCTTTCCAAGTTGCGTATCCTACCGTGCAGGCGAGATATCCGTCTACTAACAAAGGGTCTAGTCTACTGCGTAGCAGTTCGCTCCGTCCTATTATATAGATGCGAAATACGGCCAGTCGGAGTAGATATTCGTAGGTTACTAGTCTTCGATCATAGGTGTATCCAAGAATTGCTCGTGTATCCAGGGACGACCGAGTAAGCAATGCTATCATTAGAAAACGAGTTCTAGGTAAGGACGGCAAATCAATGGATGAAGCATTGAAACTTCATCAGTTGGGGTGGTTGGCACATGTGTTACGTATGCCTAACCACCGACTGCCTTGTCGAGCTATGTTTTGCGATGTTGTTGGACGAAAGCTAGGTGCGGCCAAACCAAAACATGGCAGAAATCCATGAAATCACTGACAAGTGGACTGAGTCATGTTGGTAGATGTAGGCTATCTGGTTGGAGTCCGCGAGATATTAATAATCGATAGTTAGAGCCCTTGAACAACATGGCTCAAAATCATCTGCAATGGCGCACGTACACCTCTATGGCATTCTAATCTTCTGAATTCGTCATCACTTCTACGTTTCTCCTCCCAATAATAATAATCGGTGGTTAGAGACCCTGAGTGACATGTCTGAAAACCGTTGGCAATGGCGTGTTCACTTGTAACGGATTTTTAAATAGGTTAACGAACTTCTCTGCAAGAATTATTGACCAATATGGTTCAATGGTGTTGAGAGTGAAGTAAATATCACTGATACTTAACTGATCAAAATTTTGAAAATAATAGAACTATTTTTACTCACAGAACTAATTTGTGAATTGAAATAAAAACAACCGACTCGTGACACCAGTCACTGATCTAACATATTTAGTTAATTTAAAATTGTGGCCCATCATACAACAGAGTAAACATTCTTATTCCACAAGTTTGTACTAAATCTCCAAATAGTCTCATTATGGTTAGTCACATTGAAAATTTTTAATTAATTTTTATGACAGAATACAAAAGTGAATACAGAACACAAGGAAATTTACTGAGGACAGTGATCGGGATATCACAACAACAAAATGAGAACAACAGTTAATCAGAAAAACAAAATCAATAAAATGTGAAGATTTAATGAAAATGGAGTTCACAAATGAACAATATTCAAATCATGATTAAAAAGTAATGAATAAATGGTAAAGTATCATTATAAAATGAACACAAGAACATGTCACTGTTATATAACAGTATGGAAATATTCGCACACAGTAATATAAGTAGTTATCATCGGAATGAATAGTAGAATGGGAATTATTAAGTAGATCAAAAAAGAAAACAAAATGGTAGACCAATCATGTCGTCAGTACGCTTTAAATAATGAAAGTGATAACCATTGGCATTATTATTGTTGTTATTATTCCCATTTATTCAGTGGGAGGATTTACAGTGACAATACAGTTGTTATTATTCATCTTCCAAACTCCTAGTAACTTTACTGAAATCAAATGGCTTTCCAGTTATTCGATTGTACATTTCTAACACATCATTACAGGTACTTTCAAAATGAGTTGATGCATCATAACTTTTCGAAATGTATATCTGTAATGGAAGAAATCAAAAAAAGTTACCGAAAAACCAAGGAATAAACATTTGCATTAAAACTTGGAGTTGAAGTAACAGAGACTGATAACGCGGGCAAATATTATCGGTGGTGTCCAAAAGCAAATAACTTATCTACTATAGGGATTGAAAACAGAGACAGATACCTGATAAATGATAATTGTCGGAAAACAAACTAGAGAGCACGTCAATTAACCCGTTGAATCTTGGTAGACTTCAAAACCACTTGAAAAAGAAGGCCAACTGAATTAACAATGTCACAATAAAGATAACAGTCGACGGAAATCCCTTGTTTAAGTTTAATAACTATAATCATATCTTCTATCGGACACTTAATCCAATAAGCAATACTTTTGCATCTTCAACTTGAAAACATAGTTATTATACACATAATAATTACTTTCTTCAAAAACACCAGGTACTTTTCACTGGTTGAACTGATCAGCATTGACATCCAGTCAGTGATATAAGTATCTTATCAAAAGCATATAACTTATCCATTAGAGGGATTGAAAACAGAGACAGATACCTGATAAATGATAATTGTCGGAAAACAACCTAGAGAGAACTTCAATTAACAAGTCGAATCTAGGGAGAAACATAGCTCGTCGCGGCAGTCGGTGGTAAGGCATACGTAACACATGTGCCAACCACCTCAATTGATGAAGTTACACTACTTCATCTATTGATTTGCTATCTCTACCTAGAACTCGTTTCCTAACGACAGCATTGCTTATACGGTTGTCCCAGGATACACGAGCAATGCTTCGGAGACATCGATGATCGAAGACTAGTAACCTACGAATGTCCTCTACTCTTAACGGCCAAGTCTCGCATCCGTACAGTAGGACGGAGCAAACAGCTTCGTAGTACACTCGTCCTTTAGTCAGCAAACGGATATCTCGACTACGCCATAAATGACGCAGGTTGGAAAAAGCCAATCGAGCCTTCTGTATCCGAGCTGACATTTCGTCAGTAACCAGGCCATCAGCACTGATTAAACTTCCAAGTGAAGCGGTCAACACGCTCGACTACTACACTCTCTATCACTAGTCCAGGTGCCGATGCAACCCAATCTTGAAGCAAAATTTTGCATTTCGACGGGGAAAACCGCATCCCGAACATGCTTGCATTGTTGCTCAGGGTAGTCAGAAGACTGCATTTTGTCAGCGTCTTCACCGAATAGAACTATGTCATCGGCATATTCGAGGTCAGTAAGCGATCCTACTGGTATAAGGTCTAACCCTGAAAAATCTGACGAGCTTAATGTTAACTCTAAAATCATGTCCACAACAGAGTTGAACAAGAATGGAGAGAGTGGACATCCATGACGGACACCACTTGAAGTAAAGAATTCCGGTGACAGTTCGCCATAAGTTCTCACTCAACCAGTGGTGTTCGAGTACACAGCTTGTATAAGGTTAATGTACTTCTTTGGTACACCTTTCAATGACAGGCACTGACACAACCTCACGATCGAGAGTCAAATACCACCTTTAGGTCCAGGAACACAACTATTGTAGGACGCCTAAATGTGTGTCTGTGTTCCAGGACTTGTCGTAGTGTGAAGATGTGGTCCATACATCCAAGTCCAGGTTAAAACCAGCCTGGTTTTCTCTAGTCTGCTCTTCACAAGCACTAGTAAGGCGTCTAAATATAATCGAGGCTAACAATTTAGAAACTATATTAGTTAGACTGATTCCTCTGTGATTGTCACAAGAAGACTTTTGTCCTTTCTTATAGATTGGGACAATCAGTGATTGGGACCAGTCGGATGGGATTGCGTCCAGTTCCCAGATTCTACCTAAGATCTCAGTCAACCTAGCTGCTAAAACTGGACCACCATCCTTAAATATCTCAGGGGTCAGTCTATCAGGACCTGCAGCTCGCCCTCGCTCCAGATTTCCTAACGGTTTCTCAACTTCATTAAGACTAGTGGGACTGACGTCAATTTGCCATTTAGGAGAATATATCCAACTAAAGATAGTTCTTTCAACATATTAACAAAAATGGGAATAGAACTTACATTACTCGATTTACCGTCATCTACAGGTTCAAATAAATCTGTTACCGAATAGAAAATATGTGCAATAGGTCCAAGTAATTGTAAACCAGGTTGAAGTTCTTCATGTGGATTTGATGTTTCTACAGTTGTCGCCACTAAGACAACAAAGAATTTTTCTGGGCATACAAGGTGTGGATGAGAGACACAAGAAACATATATATCTGGAAAATAAACATATATGCAAATTAATCAAAATCAACATACCATGATGTCGACCAACTTGGTTTTGAGGAATGATGATTTGTAATGAATGAGAATTCTTTACATTAGGAATGGGATGATTTAAGATGCATATAGCACGAACAACCTAGTAAGTAAAAATAAGAATACAGAATAGTGATACGTCCCACATTTCCAAACATTTATGCCTATATATATATATATATATATATATATATATATATATAAAGTCGCTCAAAACGGTGACTACCTCAGGGCACCCAACTTTTCGAAGGTTAGAGAGGTTTCTTTAAAACTCATCTTTTATCTCATCCCAAATGCAGTCAGAGACAACGGTGAGTCTCCCAGTCGTTACTGTCCCGTTTAGTTGGACAGCGCACAAGTGACTATCTACTAGGATCCAGTCTAGGAGAGCTAGTTCTGCTCTAGAACTGAATACTATACCTACACCAGCGAGGCCACGGGAAGCAGCTGCAGTGCTTTCAGATACATGGAGCATAAACCGAGTTGATTTTCTATCTGAACAAGGTTAAATCAAATTATTGATTTCGCTTGGATCTTGTATGAACGTTTCGGAGAGGCAGCATACATCAATGGCATGAGATTCCAGAATCCTAGCTAAGGAAGCCTGTTTCCCTATTTAACACCAAGTTCGAAAATTAAAAGCCACATGTAGTTTAGAACAGGGTTTCAGGAGACCAGGAAAAACCGTTCGGGAACTCGAATCGATTGCTTTAGCGGTGCGGAGTGATAAAGTAGTGTGAGAAGGGTTAGTCGTCGAGATAAGAGAGATTTTAGTGGGCGTATGAGTGATTTGATTGCAACCGATTTGGTGTCGTGCGTTTTTAGTGTATGAGGACGGATGTCGTTTTCTGGCTGCCCATACAGTAGAAGGGTACTTCTTGAGGAACCTGAAAAAGAAGTCGGATTAGCGTCGGTCTTAGAGATCCGGGAGCGTGACCGCATAGACCAAGGGACAACTGCTTCGAGGCCGGTCACGCACGTCGTTTTTGTAAGGTTTTAAAGTGTTAGCTCCGCTCTTTTTAAAAGTTACACAGATCGCTAGTACGTTAATCACTCCTCGTCATCAGATTTGTTTATGATCATAATGGCGATAGAAGTCTTGGTGATTTTTAATTTCAACCCACCCATACAAATTTATTTCTGCAGAGTAGTGTTCTAACAATTCAAACCGTCCTATGGGTATCAGCTAGATCATTTCTGAATATATTGTTCTATTCTATGATGCGTAAATTCGATGATCTAAGGTTTGACCAGATAATGACATAACAACTATGTGGCGTTTTACGAGATCATTTACTGATCTAAGAAAATGATATATTACAACACAACACTATTTACGTTATAACGATCTTTTATAGAAAATAGCAAACTGAAAGATGAAATAACCAATAAAGGGCAGAATTAATTACATGGAATATGATTTTTAAGTGTAAAACAAATCTAAGAATTCTGGTTGCAAAACTAAAACATGATTACAAACACAAGAGTCAAGCAACTGGATAATACCCCTGGCTATTACTCAACAGTTGTAGCCCAGTCTAACGAAAATACTCCGCATAACCAACCTGCACTATTCTATTACTCGGCAATTTAGGTAGATAACTACGTTTTACGAGAAGAATCATCCTTACGGATTCTTAAAGGTAGTTTAAGTATAAGTAAACAATTTCAAATAAATTCTTGCAGAACGACCTGGTCAATCACCTCAAAATAGGTAAACGTTTGCCGTATTGTATTCCAGAATCCTCGTAGAATCAGACAATTGATACACAGATAAGATAAATAAATAAACGGTTGAGATGCTGATATACCAGAAAATATCCCTGACCACTTACCTGACCACACTTTCGGACGCGATCTGGGGCATAGCTAGGATCACATATCACCTGCGTACATAGTGCGGTTACACCTTCAGATTTCACCCCTTTAACTTTGCCATTCTCCATCACAATTTCGTCTACTGGTTTGTTGAGCATGTAAGTACCGCCATATACTGCGCTAAGTCGAGTAAAAGCTTGGGGCAATTCTCCTAAGCCGTAGAGAGGATAAAGATATGGAGATTTGCCGAACCGGTTGACCGAATTGTTATAAAGCTGCATTTTGGTGATGACTTCTATAGCTGGTGCTTTCTGTCTGTAGGAGTCGTCTGTATACAGACAAATGGCATGACCGACGAAATTCTGTACATTGAAAAAAATCAAATGGAATTATTGTTGTATGTCATTTTCCAAGTGAAGTGATAAAGTCATTAACAGTTTGCATTGCAAATAATGTGAAGGCAAATGAAAATGATGCACTCATTAAGTTACTAATTACACAACAACAAATGTATATTTCCTCTTGCAGATACTCGTGTTGCTAACCAGAGCTAAGAGGTGACGTGTACTACGTATTGTCACAAAAGTTATCTATAAAAGAAAATGAATTATCGACCAATCAACTAAGTCAGTCAGTCAGTCAGCTGTAACGTAGAACTTCGTACGTAAGCACGTCAGTTCAGGTTGCCATACCACATCAACACAGAGACGCAACTGTCAGTTCAAATCCAATAGTGATAGCGATGATACAAGTTTTAATAGTAATGGAGAAGATTAGGGAGCGAAAATATGATTCGAGAAGTATAATTCAGTGAGATAAATCTAGAAGGCGAAAGATAGAGATGATGAGAAATTCGGAAGATTAGGATTTGAGTGAACAAAACGAGTGATGCATGTGCGATATTGCAATCGATTTTGAGCCATGTCGTTCAAGGGCTCTAACTATCGATTATTAATATCTCGCGGACTCCAACCAGATAGCCTACATCTACCAACATGACGCAATCCACTTGTCAGTGATTTCATGGATTTCTGCCATGTTTTGGTTTGGCCGCACCTAGCTTTCTTCCAATCTACTCCTACACTGAGAAACATAGCTCGCCGCGGCAGTCGGTGGTAAGGCATACGTAACACATGTACCAACCACCTCAATTGATGAAGTTTCACTACTTCATCTATTGATTTGCTATCTCTACCTAGAACTCGTTTCCTAACGACAGCATTGCTTATACGGTTGTCCCAGGATACACGAGCAATGCTTCGGAGACATCGATGATCGAAGACTAGTAACCTACGAATGTCCTCTACTCTTAACGGCCAAGTCTCGCATCCGTACAGTAGGACGGAGCAAACAGCTTCGTAGTACACTCGTCCTTTAGTCAGCAAACGGATATCTCGACTACGCCATAAATGACGCAGGTTGGAAAAAGCCAATCGAGCCTTCTGTATCCGAGCTGACATTTCGTCAGTAACCAGGCCATCAGCACTGATTAAACTTCCAAGTGAAGCGGTCAACACGCTCGACTACTACACTCCCTATCACTAGTCCAGGTGCCGATGCAACCCAATCTTGAAGCAAAATTTTGCATTTCGACGGGGAAAACCGCATCCCGAACATGCTTGCATTGTTGCTCAGGGTAGTCAGAAGACTGCATTTTGTCAGCGTCTTCACCGAATAGAACTATGTCATCGGCATATTCGAGGTCAGTAAGCGATCCTACTGGTATAAGGTCTAACCCTGAAAAATCTGACGAGCTTAATGTTAACTCTAAAACCAGCCTGGTTTTCTCTAGTCTGCTCTTCACAAGCACTAGTAAGGCGTCTAAATATAATCGAGGCTAACAATTTAGAAACTATATTAGTTAGACTGATTCCTCTGTGATTGTCACAAGAAGACTTTTGTCCTTTCTTATAGATTGGGACAATCAGTGATTGGGACCAGTCGGATGGGATTGCGTCCAGTTCCCAGATTCTACCTAAGATCTCAGTCAACCTAGCTGCTAAAACTGGACCACCATCCTTAAATATCTCAGTAGTCAATCTGTCGGATCCTGCTGCTTCAGATTTCCTACAGCTTACTCAACTTCATAAAGACTAGGAGCAATTAAATCTATTTGCCATTCAGGATGACTGGGGATCGTGGGTAACCGAAGAGTGGCTCCAGACCAGTTGAACTGATCCCTAAAGTGTTCTGCCCATCGATCCAGTCTCCTGGATTGAGAACAAATAATAGTCCCATCATTTCCCGAGATAGTATGACTTACACTAGGATTCCTAATACCAGTTTCCTTGATAAGTCGGAAAAGTTGTCTATAGCCGCTGCCTTTTCCATCGCTTTTGGTTTCGCCACCCATCACTGTTCACGATCGTCGCGCAGGCTTTTTATCAGCCTGTGCTTAAGCTGACTTCGTTCTTCATCATGTTCACAGCCAGGTGGGATGCGTTTTCGAACATCAATCAGTTCGGTGGATGCTACTGAGATCCACAGCTTCATTCTAGCCCTATGGTTTACCTTACTAGCAGATACCACCGCCGCTTCCACAGCCTTTTTGATATCATTCCAACCTGCTTCCGGATGCGAACCGCTTACATGGTTGTCTAATTCTCTTTCTAGTTGCTCCTGAAATATATTCACAGCTTTATTATCATTAAGTAAAACCCAAAGGGGCTTCCTTACAGTGTCTTTCCTACGTCCAGTAAGCCTCAAACAGATACGCGCTCGCACTAAGGCATAATCTGAATCTAAACATGTGCCCCAGAACGAGCGACAGTCCTCTATGAACCCCTCCATCGGTGGCTGATGGCAATGTGATCTAGTTGGGCCCAACGTTGTGACGACTTTAGGGGTCACCGGATCAAAAGATATTTTTTCTTATGCCTAAAGTTAGTGTTTGCTAGATGATATAGGCGGTTATCTGAGCATACTTGCAACAGACGGTCGCCATTGTCTGTTCTCTGAGCCGCGACACCATAACATCCACCCACGTGTCTTTCCTGCTCACTTAGTCTGCCTACTTGAGCATTAAAGTCACCAGCCATTGTTACTATATCAGAGTGCCTAACTTTTTGGGGGAGGTCCGAAAGCTTTCTGTAAAATTCATCTTTCATCTCGTCTGAGTTGCAGTCAGTGGGAGCGTGGGCGGAGAGAACGAATAGGCAACGGCGAGTGCCCCTATCTTTCCGAGTCCTTACTGTCCCGTTTAGTCGGACAGCGCACAAGCGACTATCTACTGGGATCCAGTCTAGGAGCGCTAGTTCTGCCCTGGGACTCAATGCTATACCTACGCCAGCGAGACCACGGGAAGCAGCAGCAGGGCTTCCAGATACACGAAGGGTAAATCGAGCTGCTTCTTTATCTTGACATGGAGAGGTCAAGTGAATGACGCTACTCGGATTGTGTATGCGCGTTTCCGAGACGCAGCATACATCGATGGCGCGAGATCCTTAAGTCCTAGCTAATGAAGCCTATTGCCCTATTTGACACAATGTCCGTACATTAAGAGCTCCAACATGTAATTTAGAACGAGGTTTCAAGAGACCAGGAATAACGTTTCGTGAACTCGCATCGTTCGCATTAGCGCTGCGGGGTGATAAAGGAATCTGAGAAGAGTTGGTCGTGGAGATAAGAGAGGTATTAGGGGGTGTAGGAAGGGTTTGATTATGACCGATTCGGTCTCGCGTGCTGTTACGAGTATGAGGGCAGTTGTCACTTCCAGGCTGCCCACACCGTGGAAGGTTGTTTCTAGAGGAACCTGAAAAGAAAGGTAGATTAGTGTCGGTCCTAGAGACCCGGGAGCGTGACCGCAGAGCCCAACGGACAACTGCTTGAGGCCGGTCACGCACGGCCTTTTCATGAAAGATTTTTTGAGTATTAGCTCCGCTCCTAAAAGCCCTTAGTGGGCACTCTTACCGACGAAGACGGAAATCTGTGAGGTAGGGTGAGGTATAACAGTTCTAGGGTCGACCTTTTCTAACCCTTCCTTCCTTGTGAGAAGGCAGCATCGCTGCGGATGCTGCTTGTTGTCCGAGGGAAACACCTTACTGCTGTCAAACCCCTCTGCAGTCAACAGTACAACTTCGCCCTCAGACTTTGAGTAGCTGCTTTTAGTCTCATCGTTCTCCAATCGACCTGCCTGGAATGGTAGAACCTTCAGGAACGTATGTCCCAGCCAATATAGCTCGGTTGGGTCATCACGATAGACAAGCCCGACCACCATGTTAAGGTAGCAGCTACGGTTTATTGAAAAACGACTGGACTGCAGCGAAGGTGAGCTGTGATCAGCAAGTATGCTAAACAAGAGTTGTAACTTACTAGGATACTCTGCATTCGAAGTCTGTAATAAGTTTCATCTATGATAGGCACGTTATTCAATATTTTCATTAAAGGATTCAAGGGTACATATTCTGCGCAGCTATAATAATTATAGTTTTACAGACACATTGATAGAAAGACTCACCGCATTTTAGAAAGTATTAACATACTGTGACACTACATATCATCAGTGTTCGAGTAGAGAACTTTTCGATACATCTCTCAGTAACAGAGGCTGCCACAGAACCTCACGATTAACGGAGTTGAACCACTATCGTCGGATGTCGGTATGTTTATGTTTCAGAACCTGCCGGGTTGTTAATATTTGGTATATATCCGCGTCCAGGTCTGAGAACAACCTGGTTTCCCCGAGTTTGCCCTTCACGAGTTCTAGTTAAGCGCTGTAGCATTACTGAAGTTAATATTTCAGACACTATATCAGTTAAACGAATTTCTTCTTGATTGTCACAAGGTTTTTTGTCTTTTCTCATAGACTGGAACGATCGGCCATTCAGACTAGTCAGATAGGATTACTTCTAGTGTTTAAATTCTAGCTAGGATCTCAGTTGATCTAACTACTAAAATTGGACCTCTATCCTTAAAAATCTCATGGGTTAAAGCATCAGGTCCTGATGCTCTTCTGCACTTTAGATGGTCTATAATCTTCCCAACCTCATTGAGAGTTGGAGAACTGACATCAATTTGCCATCCAGGGTGAATAGGTGAGGAGTTACTGAAGTATATTTGAATCGTTTCTTAAGTGTTCTGCCCATCTGTATAATTTTGTGGATCGACAGTGAATATTGGCCCTGTCTTTATCTGAGATAGCTTTGCTAACAACCGGGTTTCTAATACCTGTTTCCTTGATAAGTCCGAACAGTTGCTAAATGTCAACTGTCGCCACTGCCTTAACCAACTATGTTGCTTCCGTTAAACACCGCTACTTACAATCGTTTCGTAAGCTTTTCATTAGCCTGTATTTAAGCTTTTTCCGCTTTTCATCGTGTTCAGAGACAAACAGGGTGCGTTTTTGAGTATCCATCGGTTCAATAGATGACACTTAAAGCTAGTGACTTTTTTATCCTTTTAGTTTAGGTTACTGGTAGATAGTATTGCTGATTCCACCGCTGTTTGGATACGACTGCAGGCTACCTACGGGTCGATATCACTTACATGATTGACTAGCACCTCTAGTTATTTCTGAAAAATATTCTTTACATTTTTTCATTAAGTTGAACTCCAAGGGGCTTTTTGCTATGGCGTAAAATGCAGCTAATTATGCTCATACTACAGCATGACCTGGATCTAAGCATGAGCGAGTCTTCTATCGAACCTCCAACGACGACTAACGACATTGTGGTTTAGTTAAGTTCATTGTTGAGAGGATATTTGGGGTCGCCAAGCTAAAAGATGTTTTTTATTATTCATCTTTTACGTCATCTGTGCTGCAATTAGTGACAACTCAGTTGGGGTAACGAAGAAGCGGCAGTGTGTGTCCTTGTTTCTCCGACATCTTTCTATCCCATTTAATCGGACAGAGCACAAATGTTGGGACCAAGACTAGGAGAGCTGATGCTACTTTTTAACTTCATCTACACCAGCTAGGTTTGAAAAAGAGTCCTCAGATATATAAAGGTTTTCGGATCGATTCTTTATATTGGCACGGTTACGTCATGAAAATTACGACACTCTGATCCTGTAGGTGAGTTTTGGAGACGTATCATACATTGATGGCAAGAGATTATAAAGTTCTAGCTACGGTAACTTGATGTTCTATCTAACACAATGTCCGAACAATAAAAGTCCCATGTAGTTTGGAGCGTGATTTCACGAGACCAGGAACATTTCTTGAACTCAAATCATGAGCATTGGTGGTGCGAGGTGATAAAGATGTGAGAGAACTGTTAGTCATGGGGATAAGAGCTACTAAAGCGCGAGGGAAGGGTTTGATAGTGAATGAGATCATCTTATATGCCGTTAGTGGCAGGATATTTCTTCTCGGACCTGCAAAGAAAGATGGATTATAGTTGTTTTTGGTGACACAAGAGCGTAGCCGCAGATCCCGAGGTTCAGTCACTTAACAGCACTTGGCGTAATTTCTGATGAGACTTTCTTTACTCATTCCTAATGCTTATTTACGGTGATTTGTCATACTGGATCTATACCTCAGAAGCTATGCTTCACAGTTCTAACTTCATGTTGTTTTCACAAACAAAATATTAAAAATTACCTGGTCAGCAATGAAACAGACAAACACGACAGATAGAATAACAAAGAATCACATAAGTAATTCAGGAATATCTCTTAGCATTATAGAATAGTAAAGTGAGCAAGAATATTCTCTATACTTTCACACATCGTCGATGTTGAGTGGAGTTTGAACTTGCAAATGGTCGATTGTCTAACAATTGGGCTACCGCTATTAACCTTTTTAAAACGTTTTCCTCCAAGTGAGGGATGAATGTTATTGAGATTTCCTCCATTTAGCAAAGCCTTAGTACACTCTAGCCCGGTTTGGTTATCATATCTGTGTACAACCCTCAAATGCACTGTGGGTGTTCTAAACCTCAATTTTCAGGTAACAGAAAAGGCTTATACAAAAGAGCTAAATCATGAATATAAGTCAAACAAGGTTAACGGATCATCTATAGAATATTAGCTGACCTTAGTAGTCTCATCGACACCGAAATATGAAAAAGCCTCCTCAATAGAATTGCTTAGTATACTTTTAGGTGGGGGATATACAGCATTCCAAGTAGAAGGGTTATCAGGATCAACATCCACAACCCATTGCAGGAGATTCCTTAGTCTTCTTTTTTCAAACAAAGAAACCAAACCTAATGTAATAATCAGTTAAGAAAAACACTCACTTGTTGAGAGAGCTTCACTCGCGTTACTCGGGACCTTGTGTATTGACTTTTTATCAAAAACATAGCTCTCCTCGATACTTTTAAACTCGAGATACCTAGTAACACCTGTATGAACAAGCAATTTTACTAATTTTCCTGAAAAATATTTATCAAGTGCTCGTACTACTTACCATCAGCCATCAGGAACTTTGGAATCAGGTCTACATTCCAGTCCCTTCCCCGGCCAAATGCACTGAGGTCTGCATTTTTATTAAACTTCTGAAAAAGTGCTTCCAGTGGTGTAAATGATGTGGTTTCAGCACCATAGTAATTATTTCTATCTATATGCAGCACCTTCTTTCCTTCCACAGACATTAAACCACTGAGTATACATTCCTGGTTATGAGAAATACTGATGCTAGCTTAAATGATATACCTTTAAACCAGTACCAAGCACGATAACGTCGTATGTCTCATCCATTTAGCTATATCAAAACCAGCGGTTAACTCGTAATGGTGTGGAAGGTCGATCCAATAACCAACATCAAATATATTTTTCTCGAGTAAATATAAACTAGTTGGTTTCGTTCCGCTTGATTATTTTTCTTTCGGTACGGTTCCAGGTGTTTGGTAGTGTCCAATGAATGGAGGTCTAGCCACTCGACTGTCTAATTCTAGTCAGTTGTCAGTTGGTTGTGAGTTCGTGTAAGCAAGAGAGAGGAAAAAGAAGTAATAGGTGAGATAAATTAGGTAAGTGATCTGAGGAGATGGAAATGATACCAACTAGTAGGTCTCAAGATATGCATCATGTACAGCATATCCAAGAGGGAGATAATAATCCGTATGTGAATAGGTGATTATCAAGTCTCTTCTTAAAGCTGTCCACTGAGGGGGCTGTGGTGACCTCGCTTGGGAGAGCATTCAAAGTTGCGACGACTCTCAATGAGAAAAATTGTGCAAGAACCTGAGTATTGGCTCTTTGATGTGCGATTTTTTGATGATTCCCTCGAGGGGAGTGGTGGTGATGCATTGGTAAACTGCGCATGTTCGGATGGTTTGGCGTGCTTAATATGCTGTACGCCATTTCAAGCTGCAACAACCCCTAACGTGCAAGAACGTGGCTGTTCAATCTTTGATGCTTAATTTCTGGAGGATCACCTCGAGAGGCATGGCGATGATGCTTCGGTAAAATTCTTGCGTTGGAATGAAGTGATAAGCCTAATATGTTGTACGTCATTAACTTATTATCCCTGATTCTCCTGTGACTCAGAGAGAATAATCCTAAGTGCTGTAGTATATCTTCGTAAGTTTTATTCTTTAACTTATCACCCATTTCGTCGCTCGTCACCTCACTCAATCCAAGAGATTTATGTCTCTTTTAAAGAGAGGGGCTGCGACAACTTTGTGAACCTCAAGGTGTGAGTACACATTTACCTTATACAACGATAAAAATAATTCTGGGTTGACAGAACCAAGTGTAGTTCGCATAAAGTGAGGAGTCGCATTATCTTTGGCTGCATCCTCTTCATATTTCGAATTGACGTCTAGGCTTTTTGTGGTTGTAAGACCGAGAGCAAGCCCTGAGGAGACATTAGAGAGCTGATTTCCATTAAGGGTGCAAGTCTTTTGTGTCACATGGAGCGGAATGTACATAGCATGGCATTTCGACTGGTTTAGTCTTAAGCCGTTTTCACCGCCCATTCCTCAATGAATTTAAGGTCCTTTTGAAGCTTATTTGAATCCACTTCGCTTCGAATGAACCTCTAGGTCCTTGCATCGTCTGCCTCGATCAGTGCCACTGAGCTAATTTCGTCTAACAGAATACTGATGAATATCAATGAGAGTAGTTTTCATAAGATGGTCTCTCGTGAAACTCCCGATGTTGAAACTCGTCAACTAACGTACTAAACCTTTGGATCAGTTCGTGTTCGCCCAATTTTTTGTAAACAAAGTATAAAGGATTTTGCTGAGCTGATTCGAATAATCGGCAGAGGCGGAGTATCGACATAAGGTGGTGGTTATGGGTAATCGATAGAAAATTTTGAACCATTGTCATCTACGAATTCCATTATGGGCAGAGAAAGAACAAACGATGAATGAACCGCTAGCACGAATTTTGTTTGATGTCGTATAGTTTACTGAGCTTGTACTCGTTTGGTTTCCGGCGGTAATGAAATGTTAAATCTGAATTAAGTTCGAAGGATTTATCCCACGTACTCACTCATTCAGACAAAAGATGAGAAGCCGAGGTGGACATAAAGAATTGAGATAATACTAGTTTCAGGTTTCAACATACTTCAAAACAGATGATGCCTAAAGTGACTTTTACGACCAAAAACACTATTTCTTAAATAGCGACATTCATGTACCAGTGAACGTTTGATTGAATATTTGTTTATTCGTACTTTCGCTTTACACATTGATCTTTGTTCTTTCTTCACATACTCCGAAATTACACTACAGTCACGTTGCTTCTCCTGTTTCGGGTCTCCATCTTATTTCGGCTACTCTATACGTTCGCTCATTTCTCTGGCACATTTCGGTATTTCTTCGATACCACGAAATCGACAACAATTACACCTATTTCATCTGGTTTATCCCTCCCTTTTCCTTCCTATAAAAGATCTGGGATGACATGTGACGTGCTCATAGTCCCTTGACTCGTACATATACAGACATGAGAAAACCTGCACATGTTCATATGGAAAGCATGAGCTTAGCATCATGACGTTAAATTGGGGCTGCTGAAGTGCATGAATTTATGAAAAAATAACAAAGATGTTGAGGCGGTACAAATAACTCAACAGTCACATACTGTTTGATTTATCATGACAGTTACTTTAGCATTTAACGACATATCATAATATACGTTTCTCCAAACCTGGGTTTTTCGATATTTTCCACCAGTCAGCTATGTGTTTCTGCTGTTTTGAGGAGGTTAATAGCAACAGAATTCTAAAAGTGACCTGATAAATTACTTTAATCTTATGTTGTGTTCTTGAGGAAAATGGACTTTCCCTCTCAGACACTTATCAGAAGCTACATAGATTGCCTTGATGTGTGTCAAAGTCCATATGCCAACAACATCTAGGTAGAAGGATCGATATTCTTAATTCTAGGTGATATGAAATACACCAGTCTGTTAAAGTCTTCTCTACGTTTGCCGCCTGTAATCTACCCTTATACATTCTTAACAAATATCCATGAGGATTTTAGAGACATCATAACTCATGGCAAGACCGTCTTTACGTTTCTTGCGCGGCTTATTTATTTATTTGCTTCTCATTGTTCTTTATTTGATATGACTGGCTAACTTTTTTGTTGCAAGAGCATCTCAAAGTATTCAACTGGCTAGCGCCTGTCAAAAATGTAGTTAACTTTATTGGTTTTTCAATTTATTTCTTTCACTCAGATTTCGAACCTGTATACTTGTAATTTCGGCTATTGATTTCACTGTTTCGCCTCGGTATTTTAGAAGGAAGGAAACGCAAAAGCTGGTTTATTGTGAAGGTCGTTATGACTATTTCAGGAATAATAGATTCCTGCAGCTTACTCATGATTTAGTCGCAGGCCGGAATTTGAATTTCCTGTTATTCTTTTTTTTGAGGAAACGTTAGTTTTGGAACAGGCTACCATTACCTCTGTCACTGTGACAATATCGCCAAGTTCAGTAAGCTAACAAATCTATTTTTAGACTCTCAAGAGCTTTATTCACTATCCCCATAACTCCCAGTCATCGTCTTGGTACTTACTTTTGGACCAGCACGTATCTGGGATTATTTTAGGAACCCGTTAATCGACCATGAAAATATACCACACAGACTGTTATAGACTCTGCCAAAGTGCCCGTTTCGACAAAAAATAAAAATGTCGTTCTATCGCTTTACTCATTAATTTTTAACATTATTTCAACTCCTTTTTTCACTTTCTCCTCGTTCCAGCTCCCTGTCCTTCCTATTACCATACTACCTATTAATTGACTCATCTTACAAATTATACCATTCGTTTACTTAAAATCAGTGTGATATGCTATGTGGATATATTATCTGGCAAAGTTGTCTGGATTGCTTGTAATGTTGGAGCTAGTAGAGAATGTTAATTCCGATAAGGTGTACAAAAAAAAAAATTGATAGTAGACTAGAGACCATTATTTACAATTAACCATTAAACGTAAGAGAGCCTAACATCACAAAAGGAGGGAGGGTGGTGTATCTGACCAGCATTCATGACGGTGGGGCGATAACCTCAATCTACCCATGTCTGTGTGGCAGAACATTTTGTTTGCTTACGGCTCCTTACGATATAGCAGGATGTAACAAATCAGTGATATTGATGTTACTTTTCCTAGTTAACCTCGTCTACAACCCATGTCTGTAACCTTGCACTGGTTTTTACTTCCTACCGAGAAATCCTATTACAAGCTGGTCTGGACAACTATACTAAAAAAGAGCTCATTCATAACTTCTTGAGCCTCAGAGATAAAAATAAAAAGAATAAATAAAACCAAAAAATTATATCACTGATCCTCTTTATTATATTTTGTAAATTAACTTTATTACTAACAACTTGGTTCTTCTGAATTTCCTCGATTCTTTCGACTAACTTCTCATTAGTTATCTCACTACTAAAGTGTCTTCATTAACCTACATAAGCGCAGGTGTAAAGTGTTCTGATATTAAAAATGTTTGGGTAAACATACCTTTTTTTATCCATAAACGTATGTGCGAAGCCGTTGTTCGGCTTTGAACATGAATATTTTCTGTTCTGCTCCTCGTCCCGTTTTCTTTATTCCTTTTTTCAGAACCTTATTCCACTCCTCATATATTAGTCTGGATATTTGCAGTAGACTTGGTTACCCTACCCAAGAACATGTGAAATCATTAGCTGACGAATATCAACCAGACCTTTGTACATTTACCGCATCATTTCTTGTTATATGAAAACCTGTCTGTACCATGAATCATTTCTCAGCCCATATGATGATTGTCGTAACGCAACCTTCGTAACTTGCGCCAATTACTCGCTTTGTACATTCCATCTTTAAGAAAACAATGAATCTTGTGAAATGTTTCAGTAACTTTATACCGTTTTAAAAAAAATATGTTGCTAATCTTAACATTTTGATCTTGCCTGTAAATTGGCATGTCTCTTGTAACATGTTTGTTATTTGAGAATAAATTATTATTATTATTATTATTATTATTATTATTAATGATTTATTGATGAGATTAACGCAATGACATTCGATAAATTATATTCTTTACGCCTGAAAGTAAATAAGAACAGCCGAATCATAACCAGTTACAAGAAAAGTTCCGTGTTCGACCTCTATAACTCCTTGATTACTTCTGAGCGGAGCATAAAATCCAATTTCCGGCGCCATCAGTTTGATTAACCTGTTCAGTGCAGTTTTTTATTTTCCTCCCTATCTGAAAATGTACTGATACCAAGCAAATTTTTTGACATAAATGATCTGGTTGTTCAGATGTAGGAGTAATGGCCAATGAGACGAATTATCTTTAGTCATCATAAAACAATATATTTGTCAGTCATTAAGTTGAGGCTTTCTAGTGGTTTTTGTCTTCTCATGAAATTAATCTTTAGAAGAGACGGCAAGTTTTGTCATTATGTCGGACTACTTTCCAGCCTATCTTTCTCGTTAGAAACACTAGCTAATTAATGGACGTATCTACCACAACTACTTAGGTCTTCATCTATAATTGACAATCCTAGCAAGCGGACAGTGTCTATGACCATAAAGAAGTAAACGTAACCATTAACAAGCGATGGCCGGGTACCATGATACTAAAGGGAAAACTCAGTGAACGTCTGTAACTAGTCAGTTTTACATACAGGCATTTTATTGCTACTGTTCCTAATAAAAACTGAAAATTGTTTCGTCTCTGGAGACACAGCCATAGCATTTATACGTATTTGCTTCAGGATTGTTATGAAAAATTTATGAATGTTGTATCATACCTACAGCAAGCCTCGTACGACTACTTGTAACGATTTCATATCACCAGCAAGTTATCCCTCTGGATTCTGTGAATTTTGTTTAAATTTGGTATCATTATCACACATGTTTACTCATAGTGCCAGTTTTTAATTGAATCGTTTCTGCTGCTGATATTTTTCTATCTGTCCTAGCTTTGTTGTTATTATTATTATGATGCAGTAGATTCTAACAGTTTCTTTCTGATTTGCATGCCTAAGTTATTTGAAATGTCTGAAGATGATCACGTCATAACTTTTTGGATTTAAGTCAAAATTAGGATTTCCATACTTCTGATAGTTACCACAGTAACAACGTAATTTACGACATTTTTGATTAAAAGACATGTAAACCGCTTGAAAGTTTCTAAAGAAGAGAAAATCTCTGTCCAGACCATTTTAAAATATATTTGTGATTAGTGTCGCTCTTCCCGTTTAATGGTTTACTTACGCTAAACACTGCAGATTAGGTGATTCCAATTATAGGATGTGCAGAGAGAAAAACTCTCACAAAAAAGTAAGTTAATACAAGTAACTGGATTTGTCCTAAAGTTAAAAACAAGAAACAGTTAGTTAGTAGCAAAGAAAGGACACTTCAATTGAATACTGTAAAAACGACTTTAACTGAGGCTTAGTTTAGTTTTTCTGGAATTCGAAGAGGTAAAAGGTGACCCTGATAAACGACTCACCCACCCTCTGGAGTGGTTGAAACCTGCTACCATATTTGTACTTCTGTAAGAGGTTTTTGAAGTGCATGTTACTAAATGAATAAGGCTACATAAGTGGCTGGTGGTTAGACCTGATAAAAGAGGATGTTCAGGGTACCACTTGGAAGTAACCACAATAAGGAAATCTTACTAAATAACGCATACAGGAATTGTTTACGTAAACTGTTCCTAAATGGTTGCAGGAATGATGGGGTTATACATAGCAAGAAGAGAGGCATACATTTTTATCTTAGAGTATGTCCAAGACGTATGATAGTGAAACATGTAAGACATTTCGCTGTAAAAAATCTAGAGCTTTGTGTAGAATCCAAACTACGGTAGAACAAAAATATCATCATCCCAAAATGGAATTCAACAGATTCCCAAAATTAGAACTGAAAGAATCAATAAGGACATGTTAAAAATGTATACATGGAGGAATTTCCATAAACGACGCCTTCCAAAATGGATATTTCACTTTGTAAAAGTGATCATAGGAGCCACAACAGGTTTTTAAGGTGTTATAGTCACTTTGGTGAACATTCAAATTCTTTGACCATAAATTGTCTGTGGTTATGTATCTTATCGATGTAAAACCTCATCCAGAGTACTGCATCCAAGCAGTTGGTTCATTCTTGGCTAGAAATGTCATCACTCTCGAGCGTGTCCAACGTGCAAGAATTATTTTAGTGACTGGTCTTTCTAAACTCTTAAAACATCTAAAATATTTCCCCTTATAGTAGAACTTATGGTGATCTGATATTGATATTCCGTATCTTAAATAATGATTTTGGCGTTTTAATATCTAATCTTTTTGCTTCTTTGGGAAGCAATCATTTACGATGCCCCAACTCGAAGGTTTAAGGGTCGCGTTCGATTAGACTCATTGTGGGATTTTGTTTCTCCCTTTCAGTGAACAAAGACCATAACGCGTCACTCAAACACCAGCAAAAAGTTTTAAGTGGGAGGCGGATCTTAAATGGCGAGAAATTCTCAAGTATATACAAATATCCACCGACCTACTGCACTGATAATTGAAACTGTCTACTTCAGTGACATCGCCTTTAAATGATTTGTTTCATCACAATTTTAAACTCGAGATACCTAGTAACACCTGTATGAACAAGCAATTTTACTAATTTTCCTGAAAAATATTTATCAAGTGCTCGTACTACTTACCATCAGCCATCAGGAACTTTGGAATCAGGTCTACATTCCAGTCCCTTCCCCGGCCAAATGCACTGAGGTCTGCATTTTTATTAAACTTCTGAAAAAGTGCTTCCAGTGGTGTAAATGATGTGGTTTCAGCACCATAGTAATTATTTCTATCTATATGCAGCACCTTCTTTCCTTCCACAGACATTAAACCACTGAGTATACATTCCTGGTTATGAGAAATACTGATGCTAGCTTAAATGATATACCTTTAAACCAGTACCAAGCACGATAACGTCGTATGTCTCATCCATTTAGCTATATCAAAACCAGCGGTTAACTCGTAATGGTGTGGAAGGTCGATCCAATAACCAACATCAAATATATTTTTCTCGAGTAAATATAAACTAGTTGGTTTCGTTCCGCTTGATTATTTTTCTTTCGGTACGGTTCCAGGTGTTTGGTAGTGAACTAAGTTCATTTGGTAAAATTTAATGCATTAAGGGACCTTCCATATAATTAGCTTCTATCTTTGTCTTGATACCATATATTCACTAATCGTTGTTGTGTTTTATCTGCTTCACAAAGCCTGTAAACTGTTTTAGGCGGTCGATTCGTAGTCATTGGATGACCTCAGGTCGGCCTTGAGCGCCCTTCCAATCTTCATGAAAGTAGTTCTGCAACCGACTGAGCTTAAAGGTACTGAATTATTGTATTTCTAATGTCGCTTTTAGTGCTGGTCCGTGCCATAAATTCACTTGGAAAACTAGGACATGAGGTTTACTTTGAATGTGGTCTAAATGACGTAAGTAAATTCACTTGATGTGTAAGGTAGTGTAGTTAAAGATCAAAACAGTCAACACTTCAAGGTCGGCTTTTGCTTCTGTCCATTTTAGAGAAGTGTTTTTTGACAAGTTTACAAGTAGCGTTCATGGCGGGTCTCTGCAACGCTTTAAAATCCCTAGTCTTGTATGACTTTATTCTCCATAATTTTCCCAGTCATGTTTAAACGTTTTTAGACTAACCTCTACATTGGAGAGGTCCATCCTCAAATGCAAGATGTTCTTATCTGACCAGGATACAGTTTTGACTGTTCAGTACTTCTGTAAATTTGGAATCGTTAAGACCTACAATATGTCAATTATCGATTGTGAGCAACTAGAAGCTGTTTACTCTATAGAAGGAAGCGCTAATCATTTGGTTTTATCAGCACGGTATGCTACATGTCCTCTTATATTCATAGTTTACTTGGAGAAATTATAAACAATTTTCGTCTGTCTTCTGAAGAGCTGACAATTCTTTTGGATTCGGGCGAATGTACTTTTCAGAATCACACATTTCAAACAGGTTTTTATCTACTTACCTTAATATTTTTTACAGATCCTTCCGTGATAACAACACAGATTCCTCTAAATGCTACTGAATTCGATGTCTACCAAGTTCATTCAAAATGTGAAGTCACATTCTGCCAAAAAGAATTACGGGTACCGTTGTCATGCATTTCGAAAATGTCTCCCATTTGATATTTTGACAACTTAATAGGTCCACGTATTAGTGGGCTGATAAAATTGGTCTTAGTTAGATCCACCGTTCATTGGAGTATATCATTTGAGATACATGATTTTTAATGTATTATCTATCCTCAGTTTTAATTTTTCGATAATTTAAGTAATTTTGGTCATTTACGAGATTGATCTTATTGCAGTGTTATGAGCCACATGTCGTCGATAACATTTATTCGGTAACAGGCTCTTTTCCCCATAGTTCAGCTTGAATAATCGAACTGTATTATCAACTCTCAAATACCGAGCTCATCTGAAATTTTCGAATAGAAATCTCTGTTAACTTCGTAATCTGATACTAATCCTCACCACTATACACAAGAAATATTCCGAAAGCATTTACAATTAAGTATTTGTATCCTTCGCATTTCTGTTTGTCTCTCGTAACTACGTTCAGAGCAAATTAGCACTCAGTCTACTCATCCTTTGATTTGTAGTCAGACGATTCGCTACGATGAAGGCGTATTTGTGATGTCTATGTCTTATGTTCACGACCGGATTTACTTTTAGTCTATTTCCTACAACATGTGTGTAAGTACATACCATTGCTGTTATAAAGTATCCGTAGATGTTTATGAGCATACTTTAGTTCGGAGTTAGTTAGTTCATTAACGAAAAGAACTAGTTTTTCTGGTTAGCGATTTCAGAGCACAATTAAGTAGTACATTCAAGTATGGAATGTAAGCGTTTATGATTTGGAACTGATAAATATTTTGCCTTTAATGACTGGCTTTTTGGGAATATTGGGTCACATAATGCATCCTTATAACACCTGTCCCAGAATAATTATTCGTTGCCACTTCTAAAATAACAAATTCTTCTTCCCATTCGTGAGTTAGTGGCTAGACCAGTATGTGTCAGTCAGTCAGTCAGATGCATTATAGAACTTCGTACGTAAGTATGTGTGAAAAATTTACATTCAGCTATCGTTTTAAAGTCGGTGTGTTGATATTCGTGCGTGTCAGTAACTCATCACTCCATAAATTTACAGAATCTCATGATCCTCATGGTAAGTGTCCGTTGGTATTATTATCATGTAAGTCAAATTTCTAAATTATTCACCAACCCTGTTATGCGTAAATGTTTTTTTAAAGGTTATTTTGTCATTTTGTGAGCTGATTTCTCCTATGGTAAGAATTTACTGTGACCGACCGGGCAAACCAATAATATTTGCTTGTACTCATGAGACAAGGCTCAGTGCTCGGTACGTGTTTGCGACCTTTCCTTCAGATGGATCCTCAACCCCGAATTCTCAACGTTCTGAGTGTAGCCGACGTTTGTTATCAATCAGAACTCCTGTCCCGATGCAACATTTAAATACTTTACCAACGGATGAGAAGTAATTTTGTTTGTTTATTTTCTGATCATAAAGTTCGTGAGATACTAATGCTCCCTAAAATCGCCTTCGCATCCACCAAAGATTGATAAAATTACTGGGTGTTACCAGCTATTTAGACATAGAAAGTTTATATTGTTCAGGATATTCTCCCCGATGCATATTATTTGGATACTCAGTAGAGTTTGTATCCCGACCGAAGCTGCTACCTTAATGTGATGGTCGGGTTTGCCTATCGTGATGACCCAACCGAGCTATATTGGCTGGGACATACGTTCCTGAAGGTTCTACCATTCCAGGCAGGTCGATTGGAGAACGATGAGACTAAAAGCAGCTACTCAAAGTCTGAGGGCGAAGTTGTACTGTTGACTGCAGAGGGGTTTGACAGCAGTAAGGTGTTTCTCTCGGACAACAAGCAGCATCCGCAGCGATGCTGCCTTCTCACAAGGAAGGAAGGGTTAGAAAAGGTCGACCCTAGAACTGTTATACCTCACCCTACCTCACAGATTTCCGTCTTCGTCGGTAAGAGTGCCCACTAAGGGCTTTTAGGAGCGGAGCTAATACTCAAAAAATCTTTCATGAAAAGGCCGTGCGTGACCGGCCTCAAGCAGTTGTCCGTTGGGCTCTGCGGTCACGCTCCCGGGTCTCTAGGACCGACACTAATCTACCTTTCTTTTCAGGTTCCTCTAGAAACAACCTTCCACGGTGTGGGCAGCCTGGAAGTGACAACTGCCCTCATACTCGTAACAGCACGCGAGACCGAATCGGTCATAATCAAACCCTTCCTACACCCCCTAATACCTCTCTTATCTCCACGACCAACTCTTCTCAGATTCCTTTATCACCCCGCAGCGCTAATGCGAACGATGCGAGTTCACGAAACGTTATTCCTGGTCTCTTGAAACCTCGTTCTAAATTACATGTTGGAGCTCTTAATGTACGGACATTGTGTCAAATAGGGCAATAGGCTTCATTAGCTAGGACTTAAGGATCTCGCGCCATCGATGTATGCTGCGTCTCGGAAACGCGCATACACAATCCGAGTAGCGTCATTCACTTGACCTCTCCATGTCAAGATAAAGAAGCAACTCGATTTACCCTTCGTGTATCTGGAAGCCCTGCTGCTGCTTCCCGTGGTCTCGCTGGCGTAGGTATAGCATTGAGTCCCAGGGCAGAACTAGCGCTCCTAGACTGGATCCCAGTAGATAGTCGCTTGTGCGCTGTCCGACTAAACGGGACAGTAAGGACTCGGAAAGATAGGGGCACTCGCCGTTGCCTATTCGTTCTCTCCGCCCACGCTCCCACTGACTGCAACTCAGACGAGATGAAAGATGAATTTTACAGAAAGCTTTCGGACCTCCCCCAAAAAGTTAGGCACTCTGATATAGTAACAATGGCTGGTGACTTTAATGCTCAAGTAGGCAGACTAAGTGAGCAGGAAAGACACGTGGGTGGATGTTATGGTGTCGCGGCTCAGAGAACAGACAATGGCGACCGTCTGTTGCAAGTATGCTCAGATAACCGCCTATATCATCTAGCAAACACTAACTTTAGGCATAAGAAAAAATATCTTTTGATCCGGTGACCCCTAAAGTCGTCACAACGTTGGGCCCAACTAGATCACATTGCCATCAGCCACCGATGGAGGGGTTCATAGAGGACTGTCGCTCGTTCTGGGGCACATGTTTAGATTCAGATTATGCCTTAGTGCGAGCGCGTATCTGTTTGAGGCTTACTGGACGTAGGAAAGACACTGTAAGGAAGCCCCTTTGGGTTTTACTTAATGATAATAAAGCTGTGAATATATTTCAGGAGCAACTAGAAAGAGAATTAGACAACCATGTAAGCGGTTCGCATCCGGAAGCAGGTTGGAATGATATCAAAAAGGCTGTGGAAGCGGCGGTGGTATCTGCTAGTAAGGTAAACCATAGGGCTAGAATGAAGCTGTGGATCTCAGTAGCATCCACCGAACTGATTGATGTTCGAAAACGCATCCCACCTGGCTGTGAACATGATGAAGAACGAAGTCAGCTTAAGCACAGGCTGATAAAAAGCCTGCGCGACGATCGTGAACAGTGATGGGTGGCGAAACCAAAAGCGATGGAAAAGGCAGCGGCTATAGACAACTTTTCCGACTTATCAAGGAAACTGGTATTAGGAATCCTAGTGTAAGTCATACTATCTCGGGAAATGATGGGACTATTATTTGTTCTCAATCCAGGAGACTGGATCGATGGGCAGAACACTTTAGGGATCAGTTCAACTGGTCTGGAGCCACTCTTCGGTTACCCACGATCCCCAGTCATCCTGAATGGCAAATAGATTTAATTGCTCCTAGTCTTTATGAAGTTGAGTAAGCTGTAGGAAATCTGAAGCAGCAGGATCCGACAGATTGACTACTGAGATATTTAAGGATGGTGGTCCAGTTTTAGCAGCTAGGTTGACTGAGATCTTAGGTAGAATCTGGGAACTGGACGCAATCCCATCCGACTGGTCCCAATCACTAATTGTCCCAATCTATAAGAAAGGACAAAAGTCTTCTTGTGACAATCACAGGGGAATAAGTCTAACTAATATAGTTTCTAAATTGTTAGCCTCGATTATATTTAGACGCCTTACTAGTGCTTGTGAAGAGCAGACTAGAGAAAACCAGGCTGGTTTTAACCTGGACTTGGATGTATGGACCACATCTTCACACTACGACAAGTCCTGGAACACAGACACACATTTAGGCGTCCTACAATAGTTGTGTTCCTGGACCTAAAGGTGGTATTTGACTCTCGATCGTGAGGTTGTGTCAGTGCCTGTCATTGAAAGGTGTACCAAAGAAGTACATTAACCTTATACAAGCTGTGTACTCGAACACCACTGGTTGAGTGAGAACTTATGGCGAACTGTCACCGGAATTCTTTACTTCAAGTGGTGTCCGTCATGGATGTCCACTCTCTCCATTCTTGTTCAACTCTGTTGTGGACATGATTTTAGAGTTAACATTAAGCTCGTCAGATTTTTCAGGGTTAGACCTTATACCAGTAGGATCGCTTACTGACCTCCAATATGCCGATGACATAGTTCTATTCGGTGAAGACGCTGACAAAATGCAGTCTTCTGACTACCCTGAGCAACAATGCAAGCATGTTCGGGATGCGGTTCTCACCCTCGAAACGCAAAATGTTGCTTGAAGACTGGATTTCGTCGGCACCTGGACTAGTGATAGGGAGTGTAGTAGTTGAGGGTGTAAATCGCTTCACTTATCTGAGGAGTTTAATCAGTGCTGATGGCCTGGTTACTGACGAAATGTCAGCTGGGACACAGAAGGCTTGATTGGCTCTTTCCAAGTTTCGTCACCTATGGTGCATGCGAGATGTCCGTTCGCTAATCAAAGGATGAGTGTTCTGCGCACCTTTTTTTTGTCCTACTCTACGCATGCGAAACATTGCCGGTGAGAGTAGAGGACATTCGTAGTGCTTGTATACGATTATCGGTGTCTCCGGAGCGTTGTTCGAGTGTCGTGGCACAACTGAGTAAGCAATGCTGTTGTTAGGAAACGAGTTCTAGGTAAGGACGGCAAATCAATAGGTGTAGCAGTGAAACTTCATCAGTTGAGGTGGTTGGGACATATGTTAACGAATGCCTAACCACCTACTGCCTCGACGAGCTATGTTTTGTGGTGTAGGAGTAGGTTATACTATATGAAATTTAATGAACAGGAATGATAAACGTTATTGATGCTGCTCCTTGATTTACAACTTATATTTTCCTTTTTACCATTATAAATGATGACCATTTAATTTTTTCCACAGCTTTCAAAGTGACAATACTGTACTAATGAATAAAGAAAGTAATCCAAGTATTGTTTCATCGAGGAAATGTATACTGTCTCAAACAAATGACTCTGACACTCAAGTTGTTCAATCGCAAGGAAAGTTATCTTTTAAAAATGATCAAAACAATTCTGTAAGAGTAAAACGAGCGGTGAGTTTTCGTATTTTTGTCTTAATAATGAAAGCCCATTTATTGTGTGAAGTTAGTGGAACATTTACTTTCACTCTACCGGAGATTTTCCTGACTATCGGCTCTCTAATTTAGCAGTACATAATTGTTTGTAACCATTTTCACTTGTGAACCACCGCTTTAGTAAATAAAGTGACGACAAGTTGACATGGGGTAGATGAAAAGCCATTAGTAGTGTAATCCAGGATGCCTGTTTCGTCATATTTAGGACTCTTCATCTAAATATATCTACATACCAGAGTTATATTTCACTCCAGGACTCAATGGCGTTTGAAACGAACGGAACTGGGTTTGAGTTACGAAGTGAACAATAACTCTGGGACATCCAGCTGAAGAATCCCGAATAGAATGAAACAGGCGTCCTGGATTCCATTTCTAGCCATGTTCCATCTGTTCTATACCAACTTGTGTCATAATAGCTATATCGAGAAGATCCTCACAGGGTGCCCGTATGCCAACCAAGGCTGATCAAGTTTCAGTCAAAATATCAATTGTGAGATAATCCAAACAATCCAAACCGACATACCTAATGTCGGTCGAACGAGGGTAGAAGTTAGTTAATATGGTGGCTCGCCATGATATGGAAGTTATGCTATCAGTTGTAGTGCAAGATCAAACATAAGAAGAATAGTTCGAAAGGAATAGATTATATCTTAAAATGAGAAATATGAAATAGCATGACTTCAGTGTATAGGGAAAGATAATGAATGAATCTAACTGAAGCACTAACAGATTTCCGTTACACAATTTATCCAGCTATAGACTAAGATTGTCATACGAGTTCAAACAGGAAAGTCTTCTTCAACCAGCGGTCACTCGCTTCAAGGGCTTTTGGTATGATTTGATTTGACTTCCCTTGAGTCGCCAACCTGTTCCTGTGCTAAAAACAGGGCCTTGAACAATGTGATAGCTGCGTATATATAACGCATATTTTGACCAACTCAATCGATAAAAGTTGATGATTTGATCAGTTGATTTGACACTCCTACTTTTGAACCATACTCGCTTTGTGCCACCTCCTCTTTGTATTCAAAATGTGTAGTTCTACCACTAAGTTAAGGGGTGAGAAATAGCTGTCGAAACCAAATTAATGATACTCAGACCCTTAGCTTTTAAGTTAAATCACCTCCTTATGTATAGCAGCTTGACTAAATGAGTTCGTCAAATATTCCGAGTGTTTTGTATTCGTTCCCGTTTTTTGGTAGTATTTAAGTAGCAACTCACCATATTAACAATAAGAATTGTTTTAGTTTTTCATTTCTGAATTAAATGATCGTTTGTAACGTTTCTCATTTATAGGTATCTGATCCATATCAAGATCATAACCCCTGTGACGAAATCCCTTCTAAAAAGGTATACCGGTTGTACATATAATGAAATGTATGCATATTAAATTTTTTCGGCTAATTAGCTCTTAAGAATATCTTATAGAAAGTTCAAAAATAAAAGATAAGTCGCTCATAAAATATTAACTAGTAATAGTTATGTAGTTTATAAATTCGATTGTTTACTTCTCAATGAATGATGATCGCACAGTATCACAACTTGACTAGGATTCGAACCATTGGACAATACTTAGTAGTCTGAACGTTAAGTGCTCACGTCGTCTAAAGATTGTGGCTTCGATTCCTGGTTGGATCTTGACTGCACATTGCTGAGAATTCACATACTATGACCATAAAAATGTTCAGGGTTTCCTGGTTTCTAATAATTAACTGACTAAAGTCAGCCCATGTTGTAATACCACAAATTCAGTAATCTCTGCAACTTCCTCTATACTACCAATTCAAATTACTTTTCATAATAACTGAAAATAGTTAAACACCTATATGTATATCACCACTATAGCATCTCATGTAATTTTCACAGCTTGATTTTGGTTCCTGACATTAAAGCATAAATAGGCAAGTAGGAACTTGGGAATATGGAAAAGTTACGAAACTGTTCACAGTTAGTTGGTCAAGTCATCAACTTCAACCGGCTGAAAACTATGAATGAGTTTATTTAGAATGAAAATCTAAAAATAATTGTTGGCATTTTAAATCTGTTATACATTAGTGACAGTCATGAACCTGCATTAAATAAGAAATGCCTTGGATATGTGTTGAACACATGAAATGAGTACACAGAAAAGTGAAAATTAAATAAAGATAAAATCAAGTTGACAAAACAAAGAAATAGTTGTAGTACGTACTTACTTAATTACTTACACCTGTTACTCCTAGTGGAGCATAGGCTGCCGACCTATATTTTTCAACCTACTCTGTCCTGGGCTACCCTTTCCAGTCCTGTCCAATTGTTGTTCATCCTTTTCATATCTGTCTCCATTTTTCGGCGTAATGTGTTTTTTGGCCTTCCTCTTTTACCTTGGCTTTAAGGATTCCAAGTGAGGGTTTGACTTGTGACTCAGTTGGTTGCTTTCCTGAATGTGTCTTATCTACTTCCACCACTTTTTAAGTAACTGTATTGTTCATGTTAAAACTTATAGTCTTGTTCACTCGCATTTCAATGGTAGAAAACCCAGTGATAGATAATGTTATAGCATTTGGTACTACTTCGTGCCTACGTGAATTTTTCTAGCTTTTAGAAAGACGAGTCAATCTATTATTTTCCAGTCATTATCCACGCATACATGTGACCTTTTCAGTTCTCCTGTAATATTGATTCCTTTTATATGAGCATTTGTATTTGTGTTTGTTTACTACTCACTCTCTTTATCCCATGTCTTTAGCTTGCGTTTCTCATCCGACTATAAATATTGAGTTACACTTTATCAAATTCAGTTGGTTTGTTTTCTATCCTCGATCTGATTTTTTTTCTCTTACTGTCGGTATGCATTAACGGATATGTGGAATATATTTACCCCAGAATCATTGTCGTATTCGACCTGTTTTATTCCTTTATTCATCGATGTGTATTAAACTAATGAATATGTATAAACTTAAGCAGGATATATATTTCATCATCTGATAAAAATAAAGTCAAGAAAAAGACCTATAATGTCTCAGGTTACTTACGCCTGTTACCCACAAAGGAGAGTATAGGCCGCCGACGAGTATTCTCCAACCTACTCTGTCCTGGGCTTTCCTTTCCAGTTCTGTCCAATTGTTGTTCATTCTTTACATGTCCGCTTCCATTTCTCGGCGTAATGTGTTTCTCAGCCTTCCTATTTTCCTCCGAACTTGAGGATTTCAAGTGACGGCTTGTATTATGATGAGGCTGGTTGCCTTCCTCAATGTGTATCCTATTCACTTCCAGCACTTCTTCCTGATTCCCTCCTCTGACGGAATCTGGTTTATTCTGTCCCAGAGTAGTTTGTTACTGATGGTGTCTCGTAAACGGATCCAAAATATTTTACTTAAACAACTCTTAATAAACACCTGTATCTTCTGGATGATGGCCTTCGTAGTTGTCTAAGTTTCCTCCCCATACGGTAGAACAGTCTTGTTATTTGTTTTGAAAATTCTGACTTTGGTATTGGTTGATAGTTGTTTTGAGTTCGAGATGTTCTTCAGTTGTAGAAATGCTGCCCTTGCTTCGCCGATCCGGGCCAACACATGTGCATCAGATCTACTTGGTTCATCAATCAATCAACAGCAACGTAGAACATCGTACGTACGTACATAAGTTCACGCTGCTATACCACATTAGCACAGAGATGCCTTTAAATCTGTATCGGATCCACCTTGGTTGTCGATGATGCTGCCAAGATATGTAAAGGTGTTAACGTCCTCCAAGGCATCTCCATCAAGAGTGATTTGGTTGGTGCATGTTGCGTTGTACCGCAGAATCTTGCTTTTCACTTTGTGCATGTTGAGATCTGCTGCTGCTGCTGAGGCTGCTGTCACATCGGTCGTCTTCTCTTTCTCTTGTCATTGCGTGTGCGATAGAAGATCGTCAAGATGCGTCCTAGCTGTCCAATGAATACCGTGCTTCCCTCCAAATGCTGATGTCTTCATAATCCAGTCGATCACTAGGATAAAGAGAAAGGGTGAGAGTAAGCAACCTTACCTGACACCGGTCGTCACCTCGAACGAATCTGTCAGCTGTCCTCCGTGCATGATTTCGCAGTTTATTTCCATCCTAAGATATGCCGTATGGTATTGACTATTTTCTCAGGCACGCGGCAGTATAGAAGAATCCTCCATAGTGTTTTCCCGTCCACGCTATCGAATGCTTTCTCGTAGTCGATGAAATTGATGTAGAGTGGTGAGTTCATTTCAACTGATTGTTCAACAATGATCCGCAATGTTGCAATTTGGTCGGTACACAATCGATCCTTACGAAATCCAGCCTGTTGATCTCGAAGTTGGGCGTCCACGAAGTCCTTCATTCTGTTTAACAACACCCTGTTGAAGAGGTTGCCTGTTATTCAATGAAGAGTGATGCTTCTGTAGTTCTCACGCTTGATGAGATCGCCTTTCTTTGGTATTTTGATGAGGTGTCCTTCTTTCCAGTCTGATGGTACATGCTCTTCATCCCAGATCTTGTTGAAAGGAGTGTGGAGTATGTTTGCAGTTGCTGTCACGTCTGCTTCCATTTCCGCCGCTGGAATGTTGCCTGGTCTCGCTGCTTTGCCGCTCTTGACTTGTCCAATGAATATTTTTGCTAAAATTTATATTGTGTATACCTATAGTAAATGCAACATTTTTATTAATACTTCCTTTGTCGACTTTTTTCAGGTTCGTTCTTTTCTTTTGTCAAATTTTCAAGCCAAAGATAATGTTAGTGTAGGTGATTTGAAAGATAACACAAAAACAACTGTACTACATCAACCTACTTTATGGAATCAAACAGCATTTAAATCAAGTGATTTAAGTTCCGTTATGAATCAAACATCTACATTAGGCGGGCAAACTGTACTTGTTGCTGATTCAGACAATGACGATTAATGTACCATTTCCTGTGGTGATAATATTAACTCACTATGTACAGATCTTTATTTTAATATGTATAATCTTAATATTACAATTTTGCCTAGATTAATAATTGAATTCCAACAGATCTTCTATTACAACATATCGCTTATAACAATAGCGAATGAGTGTATCAGAATGAAATAAATATTATTTTCAGTGATATAGCTATTTACTTTTAATTTCTGCGTGTACGTAATTTATTGCTTCAAAACATGTGTATCCCTGAAACTTATGAACATGTTTTGTTTATATTGTTTAATCGGAAAAACTTAACTGGTTGATTCTAGTTACTTTTCGATGCACAAGTCTAAATAAAAATGGAAATCGGAAAAATTTTACGAATTCCAAATATCCTACCTGGATACTGAATTGGTGTAGTTCTAAGTTACTTATTGGTGTTGAGTTTTTTAAAGATGCACATAGGTTTTTCAGATAAATGATAATAAGTGTAAAACTCGGATCCAAAATTCCTTAATTTTGTTCTCCATCACCAGATACAAGTGAATATTAAGTGTAAGTAATTAACCTTGATAAACTGGACTGTTCTGAAAGTTCTTGAAATGTTTCCTGTTATCGAGCTCAAATTAGTAATCCTTCATATGAGAGACTTTCGTTTCAAAGCTCTAAACCATGTCTTATTGATATGATGAATACTTGTCGTTCGTTATATTTGCTTTATAAATAATCGATGAATAACCTTGGAATTAGTTGACTGACAGTTTTTTTCAGGCATCATTAATAACACAAAGATTTTAGTGGTCATCGGTTACTTATGCTCCACGAAGGGCATCAAGCGTAAGTAAATATGGTTCTCATATTTCCATAACTGGTTTCATAAGAAGTCTCAGCATACTGTTACCCTGAATCTCCCGATCTCGAAATTCACAATCATATCTTCGGAACAATGATTGAAGAATTGGCGATATTCCAACTGTATGTATAGGTAATAATGATTACCAGATACGGTTTGGAGTATTTGCTTGGGAAAGATCAGGAGCTTGATTTTTGATGGGTGTGTGAATGCTATAATGTAGCGAATTCACCGGTCACTATAAAAAATAATTTACAGGAATCCCTAGATTCTGTCCATTTATTTAATGTTTTTTAGGAAACTACGGGATTATGTGTAAGTATGGTTTGCATTCTTTGTATAAATTTAAAGTATTCATACATTCTTCTATATGTAATTGGTTCAAGGTAATTAGTAAAAATTTTTAATTATTTGAGGCTCTAGGAAATTAAATTAAACTCATAATTTAATTTAACTATTCATGGAATCATTTAACAGCGATGTACGTATGTAACGGGTTTTACGTTGTGCTTGACTAACAGACTGATAGTGAAGCGCTGTTTATTTCATGTAAATGACTGGTAACCAGTGGGTCACAAACTTAAATTAATAGATTGCTATAGTAAATGGCCCGTTATTTATTATTTATTTATTTGACAAAAAAGGGCATCAAAATACGTACGTGCCACACAAATTATCGAATTTGTGAGTGGGTTATTCACTCCTGGATGCCCAAACCTAAGGCGGTCCTCTTAGGAGGTCACTCTTTATGCCTTTAACCCAGAGGTCTAATTCACAACGCAATAGAGCAACGTTAAGTGATGTAGTTCCATGGTAGCTAGTGACCAACAGTAGGTTCAAACACCTTTCGTTTCATTAGGATCTTGAAGCCTATGTACACCATTCGGTTTCGAAAACAGTCAGTCTGTTACGACGTAGAACTTTGTACATAAGTACGTCAGTATTATCAGTAATGGAGAAGATTAGGATTTGAAGATATTATTCACGAAGCATAATTTAGTGAGATAAGTTTAGAAGGAGAAACTTAGAAGTGATGACGAATTCAGAAGATTAGAATACCATAGAACACAACGAGTGGATGTACCTGCGCCATTGCAATCGATTTTGAGCCATGTCGTTCAAGGTCTCTAACCATCGGTTACTATCGTCTCGCGGACCCCAACTAGGTTGTCTGCATTTACCAACATGTCTCAGTCCACTTATCAATGACCTCATGGATTTGTGCCATGTTTTGGTTTGGCCACCTCTAGCTTTCTTCCAACTTATTCCTACACTGAGAAACATAGCTCGTCGAGGCAGTCGGTGGTTAGGCATACGTAACACATGTCCCAACCTCCTCAATCGATGAAGTTTCACTACTTCATCTATTGATTTGCTATCTCTACCTAGAACTCGTTTCCTAACGACAGCATTGCTTATACGGTTGTCCCAGGATACACGAGCAATGCTTCGGAGACATCGATGATCGAAGACTAGTAACCTACGAATATCTATTCTGACTGGCCGTATTTCGCATCTATATAATAGGACGGAGCGAACTGCTACGCAGTGGACTAGACCTTTTCTTAGTAGACGGATATCTCGCCTGCACGGTAGGATACGCAACTTGGAAAGAGCCAATCAAGCCTTCTGTATCCGTGCTGACATTTCGCCAGTCACCAGGCCATCAGTGCTGATGAAACTTCCAAGATAAGTGAAGCGGTCAACACCCTCAACTACTACACTCCCTATCACTAGTCCAGGTGCCGACGAAATCCAGTCTTCAAGCAACATTTTGCGTTTCGAGGGTGAGAACCGCATCCCGAACATGCTTGCATTGTTGCTCAGGGTAGTCAGAAGACTGCATTTTGTCAGCGTCTTCACCGAATAGAACTATGTCATCGGCATACTGGAGGTCAGTAAGCGATACTACTGGTATAAGGTCTACCTCTGAAAAATCTGACGAGCTTAATGTTAACTCTAAAGTCATGTCCACAACAGAGTTGAACAAGAATGGAGAGAGTGGACATCCATGACGGACACCACTTGAAGTAAAGAATTCCGGTGACAGTTCGCCATAAGTTCTCACTCAACCAGTGGTGTTCGAGTACACAGCTTGTATAAGGTTAATGTACTTCTTTGGTACACCTTTCAATGACAGGCACTGACACAACCTCACGATCGAGAGTCAAATACCACCTTTAGGTCCAGGAACACAACTATTGTAGGACGCCTAAATGTGTGTCTGTGTTCCAGGACTTGTCGTAGTGTGAAGATGTGGTCCATACATCCAAGTCCAGGTTAAAACCAGCCTGGTTTTCTCTAGTCTGCTTTTCACAAGCACTAGTAAGGCGTCTAAATATAATCGAGGCTAACAATTTAGAAACTATATTAGTTAGACTGATTCCTCTGTGATTGTTACAAGAGAACATTTGTCCTTTCTTGTGAATTTGGAAATTAGCAACTGATATCAGACAGATAGGATTGCGTCCAGTTCCCAGATTCTACCTAAGATCTCAGTCAATCAAACTGTTAAAACTGGACCACCACTCTTATAAATCTCTGGGGCAAGTCTGTTAGGCTCCGACACTCGCCCTCACTTCAGATTTCCTATCGCTTTCTCAACTTCATAACACGGCCTGTAGACCCTTCAGGGCTACTGTCGGTCTCAAGCGCGAATAAAGGAGGAGGGTTGGACATGGGTTTGGCGACCCCATTACGTCAAAAAACTAACTTGCCAAAAAAACGCTAACCAGAAAAAATAATTCAGACCATTTTAACTCTGCCCTGGGAGTTGGGAGAAGAATTATGACGTCGCATGATGAAAGCCGAGTTCCCTCGGAAAGTTCGAGGCCAATACCCCTTCTCACAACCAGAGCAACCATTCTCTTATGTACTTGGAACGTTCGTACATTGTGGGAGACTGGAAGACTATTTCAAGTTGCGGCAGAAATGAAAAGATACAACCACGAGGTGCTCGGTACCAGTGAAACGCATTGGACACAGATAGGACAACTGAGACTAGCTTCAGGGGAATTGCTGCTGTTATACTCCGGCCGTGAAGAAGAAAGTTCTTTACACGCACAAGGAGTCGCACTAATGCTGTTCAAACGTGCACAAAAGGCACTGATAGGATGAGAATCTCATGGTCCCAGGATCACTAAAGCATCTTTCAAAGCAAAGAAAGCGGACATTACAATGAACTTCATCCAACGTTATGCACCTACCAACGACTACAATGAGACGTTAAAGATCAATTCTACGAAAGGCTGCAGTCGATCGTTGACAGATGCTCACTAAAGGATTTGGTGATTATAATGGGAGACCTGAATGCCAAGGTTGGCATGGACAACAATGGATATGAAGAAATCATGGGACGACATGGACTGGGAGAAAGGAACAAAAATGGTAAGAAATTTGCAAATCTGTTTGCCTTCAACAAACTGGTCATCGGTGGCACAATATTCCTGCACAAACGCATTCACAAAGCCACATGGATTTCACCGTATCACACTACTCAGAACCAAATCGACCATATCTGTATCAACAAAAAGTTGAGAAGGACGATGGAGGATGTGAGAACCAAGAGAGGAGCTGATATAGCCTCAGATCACCACTTGCTGGTAGCCGAAACGAAACTGAAACTCATGAAGCACTGGACAATGTAGCAGACAACATCACAAAAGTTTAATTCAGGATATCAAAAAACTCAACGAATTCAAGATAGCCCTCAGCATTAGGTGCCAGGCCTTAAACGATCTACTCAATGGAGAGGAAGCAACATTGGAGAACAGTTGGAAAGGGATCAAGGAGGCAATCACTTCAACATATCATGAGGTTCTGGGTCACAAGAAGTACCATCACAAGGAATGGATCTCTGTTGCTACTCTTGCAAAAACTGAAGAAAGGCGGAACAAGAGGGCAGCGATCACCATCAGCCGAAGAAGGCACAAGCTGAATACATAGAAAGAAACTAGTAAGTGAAGAGGAGCATCAGAGCCTAAAAATGGAAATTTGTGGAAGGTCTAGCAATGACGGCCGAAAAGGCTGCAAGAGAAGGAAACTTGAGATAGTTGTGCGATACAACAACGAGGCTCACTGCACACTATCGTAAACCAGGACGACCAGTGAAAAGCAAGGAAGGCAAAGTAGTCAGCAACACTGAAGAACAGCCAAGTAGGTGGGTAGATCACTTTCAGCAACACCTGAATCGACCAGACCCACTGAACCCACCCAACATCGAAGCAGCATCCACGGACCTCCTAATCAATGTTGGCCCACCGACAATTGAAGAGATCAGCATGGCAATCAGACAAGTCAAGAGCGGCAAAGCAGCGAGACCAGGCAACATTCCAGCGGCGGAAATGGAAGCAGACGTGACAGCAACTGCAAACATACTCCACACTCCTTTCAACAAGATCTGGGATGAAGAGCATGTACCATCAGACTGGAAAGAAGGATACCTCATCAAAATACCAAAGAAATGCGATCTCATCAAGCGTGAGAACTACAGAAGCATCACTCTTCATTGAATAACAGGCAACCTCTTCAATAGGGTGTTGTTAAACAGAATGAAGGACTTCGTGGACGCCCAACTTCGAGATCAACAGGCTGGATTTCGTAAGGATCGATTGTGTACCGACCAAATTGCAACATTGCGGATCATTGTTGAACAATCAATTGAAATGAACTCACCACTCTACATCAATTTCATCGACTACGAGAAAGCATTCGATAGCGTGGACGGGAAAACACTATGGAGGATTCTTCTATACTGCCGCGTGCCTGAGAAAATAGTCAACATCATTCGGAATTCTTATGATGGATTAAACTGCGAAATCATGCAAGGAGGACAGCTAACAGACTCTTTCGAGGTGAAGACCGGTGTCAGGTAAGGTTGCTTACTCTCACCCTTTCTCTTTATCCTAGTGATCGACTGGATTATGAAGACATCAGCATTTGGAGGGAAGCACGGTATTCATTGGACAGCTAGGACGCATCTTGACGATCTTCTATCGCACACGCAATGACAAGAGAAAGAGAAGACGACCGATGTGACAGCAGCCTCAGCAGCAGCAGCAGATCTCAACATGCACAAAGTGAAAAGCAAGATTCTGCGGTACAACGCAACATGCACCAACCAAATCACTCTTGATGGAGATGCCTTGGAGGACGTTAACACCTTTACATATCTTGGCAGCATCATCGACAACCAAGTTTGATCCGATCCAGATGTGAGGACACGGATCGGCAATGCAAGGGCTGCATTTCTACAATTGAAAAATTTCTGGAAGAAGGTAGATTGGCGTTGATCTTAACGACCTGGGAGCGTGATCGCAGAGTCCGAAGGACAACTGGTTGATGTCGGTGACACGTGGATTTTTTATGGGTAGTATTCAAATTATTAGCTTCGATCTTGTTTAAAAGGCCTTACCGCTGGAGACGGAAGTCTGTGAGGTAAGCTGAGGTGTGACATTTTTAGGGTCGATATTCTCTAAGCCTTCCCTCCTTGTGAGAAGGCAACATCGCTGCAGATGCTGATTGTCTGAGGGAAACACCTTACTGCTGTCACATCTCTCTACAGTCAAAAGTACGACTTCGCCCTCAGACCTTGAGTAGCTGCTTTTAGTCTCATCGTTCTCCAATCGACCTGCCTGGCATGATAGGACCTACAGGAACATATGTTCCAGCCAATATAGCTCGGTTGGATCATCACGATAGGCAAGCCCAACCATCACGACAAGGCAGCATCTATGGTCGGGGGTTTTGGAATTTCCCCTAGGCAAATTCCCAGCACCCATCAATCGGGTTCAAGCCTGGCCGGATACTATTCTTTGTAAAAAATTTCGTAAAATACGCCTTCACTTCGCCAAGACAATGATTGGGCTTCTCTTGTAATGGCCATATGAGAGGATTTCGAGAGAGGAAGCAGACTTGTCCCAACCTGGGTCGTACCAGGACATTTAGAGGCCTGGTATTGTTTTCATCATCTTCTACACAACAGGTATTCTTTGTTTAACCAGTTATGCGACCAATGTATCCCAGTCTAATGATCTTTAGTAATTGAAAGTATAATAATTATTCAAGACTTTAGAATGCTTATCAAAGCAATAGACCATAGATTACTTGGTAATCTTATGATGTTGGTATATTATTTTAACTATCATATTGGTTATTAGATTAATTTAATTTGGCTATGGTCAGTATCAGTAGTCGTTTAAAGCCATGGGCACAAATCTATCTTTTTTTACAGAACTGATCATACTAGCCATTTGAGTTCATTGTTTCTTGTTGGGAGATAGATAGTTTAGTTGTTAGAGAACCTTACTTTCCGCTACAGGATTAAAGATCTCAACAGACAATTAATTTCACTGGCTATTTTAACAGAAGTGTAGCTAGAGCATGGAAACTAGTACTCGTACTGAGTTGCAGAGCTGGTTATCAACGAAATTTTTTTTACATACCCTAGGTCTTTTATATGAAAACCAACTTTATTCATATACAATGGTGAACTATTTATGATAGGTGGTTGTAGATCAGTCTAAATTGAAACTATGAACTTTGTTTTGATGTACTTATTTGTAAGGGGTGTTTTTAAATCCGATTCAAATATGTTTATTTTATTTTCTATGAGTAAGAAAAAAAATGCTTTTGATCGCAATATTGTCGTGTATGAGTCTAAGTTTTGCTAGAAATAATTCTAAATCACAGCTTCACTGAATTTCATGCTCCAGTTACCCTTCTGTTATTAGAGCCAGTGAAATTAACTGTCTGTTCAAAGCAATTCAAATCAAATAGGTTCAGATCTCCAATTGTTTAGCGGAAAGTCAGGTTCTCTAACAACTAAACTACCTCTCAACAAAAAAACAATTTAATAAACTTATCATACCAGTCATTTTAGTTAATTGCTTTTTGTTGAGTGGTAGTTTAGTTGTCGTGTATGAGTTTAAGTTATGCTAGAAATAATTCTAAATTACAACAGCTTCATTGATACACTACTGTAACAATTTCACTTAATTTAATACAAAAATAAATATGAATATTCTCATGAATTCCTATACAAGTTAATTCTGGTTAATTAACTTTTGGTTTTTTTTTAAATATTTTATTGGTTATTTTCTCGTTTAATAAAATGTACTATCTTAACGAAACAGAATGGAATGATATTAATTCAACGCAGTTCTATTTTAATTCAAAAATAGAATAAAGTAAGTTTATTAATCTTTTTTTTTTTAAAATAACGAGTAATTTAGAAGACTGCAAAACCAAACATTGAATCAATAAGAATTAATTTATTTTTTAATACAATTCAAAGAAGACTATAACACAAATAATAATGAAAAATATTTTAAATCATATAATTTGTTCTGAATAAACAATTCAATGGAAACATTGAACTATTCATCCTTATTTGTAAATTGTATTGTATTGTATTTTGTTTTTTTGTGAAGAAAGTGCAATGCAGTTTTCGAAACTTTCGTTCTCAAAAATAAAACAAACAAACAAATAAACAAGCAAGATACTGAACTGCAACAAATCGGCTCTATATGTTTTGTAATATTTGTACATATGTTAATGATTGTATACCATTAATGCTTATGAGATACGATTCACAAATTATGAAGAATTCAAATCATATCAATTCTAGTTTTGCCTATGATTGTCAATGTTATCAACCATTTCTTTAGTTTGTTTTTGTTTTTGTCTGTGTGCATAGAATTCAATGTTTGAAAAAGAATTAAATACCATTACAATATGTATATATACATTTGGTCATTTGATTATTGGATTATATTTATATGTCATTTATGTGGATATGTATAATGAACAATTTATCTACAGAATTCAAGTAGTATAAGTTAGATAATATAGTGTAGAATAAGGATATTAAACATGAATTTAGATTTTTATATATCACCATTTTTTTTGCTCACATTCTCTGTACATGTAGTCATTTACACAATATTATAGATCAATTGAAGTAGACTGATAATGCATATGAGGTTTATATGCTTTGCTTGAACTGAATGACTATTGCGCAAAGTTCTGTTCTTGTCTATATGATGAAAAATGTTAAAAAAAACATAAATTAATTTACCAAACTTTTTGACCACGTATTCATTTTCCAAAAAGAACTATATTCTCTCTAACTTTAATCTATCTGAATGGAATTGTCTACTAGTCAATTGCTTATCAATTTTTTTTTAAGTAACAAACTATATTTGACTATGCTAATGTCTACTTCTTTTTTCCTCACTTCATATGATGCTCACATACTACGAAAAACACTGAACTGCGTCACGAGACAAGCCCTCACATGGAACCCTCAAGGTGAAAGGAAAAGAGGAAGGCCAAGGAACACATTACGCGGAGAAATAGAGAAAGATATGAGAAGAATGGACGAAAATTGGACAGAACTGGAAAGGGAAGCCCAGTACAGAGTTGGTTGGAGAAAACTGGTGGACGGCCTATGCTCTCCTTTGGGGGTAACAGGCGTAAGTATATATATATATATATATATATATATATATATATATATATATATATTACAAGTATTCACAGTATATTCAGTTATAAGTAAGTAAAAAACTCTGATTTATGTTGACAAAATAACTTACTAGTGGGTGTCATAAAATAAATAGTTGAAATTGGTCCATCCTCTTTTTCACTAATCATTTGAGCTTGAACAATATATAAAGTTTCTTGTTTAAGTCCTTTAAGCTGAAGACCCGGGACATTCTACAAGATGAATGATAAAAAAAAATCACTAATTATATGATTGATTTGTTTATCCAGTTTATTTCTAGTTGATTAATTCATCATTGATATTATCACATAATTAAACAAAAAAATATCAGTGAATAAAACTTATTTGTACAGCATGGAAATGACTATTTATTTCATTGGGTTATTAATGCATATTTCATGTATTTATTTGAAAAATTCAAATATTGAATCATTTTTACGGAAAACTCTCTGAACATTTACTTGTGTATGATTCAATGTTTTTGAATTGAAAATGTGTATTTTCTGAAATTATGTTTTATATTCTTAAAGCGTAATCTAATAAACAGCTTAATGGGTTAGTTGAGAATTTTCGAAATCATACGATACTCATAGTGATTACACAGTATTTTTAAATAGTGTTTGTTTTATGCAGATTAAGTCAGTCAGTCCGTCAGATGCAACGTAGAACTTGGTACGTAAGTACATCAGTTCATGTTGCCATACCACATCAGCACAGAGATATAATTGTCAATTCAAATCCAATGGTAGTAGAGGTAGTAAGGGAATTAGAAATAATCGGAGAGGTTAGGGTTAGAAGATACTATTGAAGAAGTATGATTCAGTGAGAAAAGTTTAGAGAGTCGAAACTAGAGGTGTTGAAGAATCCAGAGAGGTGTTGAAGAATCCAGATTAAAAGAGAGAATATATCATTTTGAATGTCATTCAGTGCATCCTGTGGATCAGATTTTATTTCAAATAGTTTGAAATTGTTTACTGATCTAATATTTTGTGAAGTATTATTATAACTTTTTGGATATAAAAATGTGCAAAGTCCAACAATGATTTCGGAAGATCTAATAATAATTAGGTGAATGTGTATTGAGTTATCTGGTAATCAGCAACACGTTTTAGTCTTTAATACTGATGTAAGTATATTTTATGAAACATCGTTAAAACAGACGATCTCTCTTAAAGTGTTTAGTAATACTTAACACATTACCTTCTTTCTTTATTAGTAAAGACTAGTTAAACATATTTATAGTTGTTAAATAATTATTGGCTTAAAATTGATGAAAAGTTATACTTACCAAATCTAAAACTTTAGACTGAGTTTTTTCTGGATCCATGAGAGGTTGAATAATATTACTGTACACTTCGTATCCTATCGGTTCATATAATCTTGGACCCCAAGTTAATCGAACACCACGTATTTCAGAATTTGTAGTTTTTGTACTTGGTGTACGATTTCTCAATGTTCTTGATGAGCGCCTAGATTCACTTTTTGAATATACAGTAGGTGTAACTGGATGCCATGTAACAATAGCAGTATAATTAACAGTGTCTACATTCGATTGAATATTTGTTGGTTTAGATAAATATGGTGCATTGGCTTCAGACACAACTATGAATTCATCCATTCGATTTTGTTTTAAGTGACGTAGTTCTCTTGGATTTTCATTACTTAATAATGTGTACTTTAATTCAACCGGTTGAATAGCTGATGAAGAAGCTTGATAAAATGTAAAAGTAAGGTAGACTAATTAATATAAACTTAGCCAATAGAAATGATTGTATTAAAAGGATTCTGAATAAGCCCACATTTTCCTTAATGGATTCAAAAGTGAATTAATACATCTCAGTGAACTTGTTCTAACTCTTGAAATGATTAATCATTTTAAGATTTTTAATTTTCTTGTAGATCTATTATATTGAAAATATGAGGAAAATTATTCTTATCTTTCCAGCTATTCTGTCAATTACATACTTGTCAGTTACTCATGTGTAATATTGATTTGTCCTATTGCGTGCGTGATGGTATGTATTTATCTATCCACTGAGTATTCCTTATATAAATTAAGGAGGTTGTGTGACCTAATATAATCTTTGAGTTGGTGTGTTAATGAATTCTAACGCTTTATACATTGATTGCACCTTTGATTCATAGTTTGATTTTCGATAATAGCAAGTCTGAACTAATAATATCCTTGATGTAGTGCGTATTCGACTTTCATTATCTACATTTTGCTTACATGCTTTGTCAACAGAATGTTTATAAATTAAATAAAATATACATTCCATTAACATTATTTATAGTTTGACCATAATGGAATGAGAAATGGAACTCGATTTAGCGCTAAGCTTCAAGTTACGTGTTTTGTGTCAGCACTAGTTAGTAGACTAACGGGCTACATACTAGCGAAGTAAAAAAGAGTGGTGTTCGAAACCTTGACTTGATAGTTAGAAGTCGAGTGACTTAACAGCTAAAGTATTGCTCAGTCGCTGTTAAACCAATTAACAAATATGATCAAAACAAGTTACTGCTTTCTCGTTAACTGTTTTTTGCGTGTTACTAATGTATATGATGATTTTTACGCAGAATTCATCTGTTGACTGATACTCTACGTATATCAAATGTATGATACGTTTTCAAATGATCCAAAGATCCGTTCACATTGTAATTACTATAACAGTTCAGCTGTTCAAGATGTATACAGAACAATAAAGTATATTTCCTTTAATAAGTTAAGTATGAGTAAGGTAATCAAGTAATCTCTAACTATTAGTTTATTCAGATATATAGAAATGTCTAATATTTTTTTGTTTTACTCACTTTGAAGATAACAATGTTGCGGAGTTACACCATCTTTGATTACAACATTTTGACATGCTGGTGTGCAAAAACATGTAGTCCATTTAAACAATGTAGGAGATATGTTATTTGTTAAATGATTACTCGTGCTGCTAGTACTACTACTACTAGAAGTAGCAGTTGTATTATTATGATTTAGCATAATGAATACATTCGCTTCATAATGACACTGAAATTGTAAATCCGTTATAAGTATATTTCTCAGTTCATATTCCTAAATAAAGAAACATATAATTAGTAGTATATTAAAAATACTATCCAACAGTCGAATGTTAGTGAATAACGCATTTTTTCTAGTAATAAAATATGAAAATATAAGTAGACAGTTTTTTGAAATTTACTATTGCTTAAGGAAATGATTTCAAAGTTGAATATCGGAAAAGTTAGTGTTAATTGTTCAAAAGCATTGGACGGAAATAATTTATCATTCAAACTTATCTACGATTAGACTAATACAAAATGTGTTTTTAAAAATACAATAATTGGTAAGTCGCTTTCATTATTGTACAAGTAAAATTTTAATGAAAGAAGTAGCTGTTTAAAATTCTGTTCATCTCAGTATCATCATTTGGGTCTCAAAGACAACGGTGGACATCTATTCCCAACCGATTATATAAACATATACTGATAAGTACTAATTAGCGCAATAAAGGTTCATAGTCTTGATTACCTTCAACCATCTGAACAGCTATGTTCTTAATGATAGATGCTTTAAAAAACTCAAGAGATTTGTCAGCTAAAATCACAGATATTTTCCAACCATTTATGCAAATATAGCTAGACCAGTAGTGCATCACTTCGTTAGCTAATATACCTCAATAAAGCATTTTACATAATACATTATATTGATTCAAATATGCCATCTATTTTATATCTAACAACGTAGAATTTCAGTATTCATGTACAGTCTAAGTTAATGATAATATATGTTTATCCTCAACTGTCAAACTACACTTTATATTCGTAGAGTAAACATAAGTGCTGTCAGTTAGTGAGAAAGCTTATGGAAATTAAAATAAATTTTGCTGTATAAAATCAAGATAATCAGATATCGATGTGTTTTGAACAGTAAATAATGATAAATCTTCTTCCTAGTAAACACAAAGTAGAAACTATATGGACTCCGTAGCTCAGTGAATAAACAGTTGTCATTTAAAGCGGAAAGTGCTGGGTTGACGTTCCACTGTGAGAATCAAAAGCGAGATACAGATAAGTTAAAGAGAAGAGCGTCGACTAGAACGAAACGAGAGTGCTGGAGGATACAGTCTAAATATAATTAAATTTGTCACTAAAAGGGTAAATTGAAGTGATTCACTTACGATGCACATACGACAATAAAGGCTGATCAGTAACTATTAAAAATTGAATGTCAGCTAATAAATTTACTAGATGTAAACTTACTGCTATTCTTTTTCGCCGTATTCCAATAAATTCTGTATTTGTTTGATTTTGTGTTTCAATGCAAACTCGTGGCATCCACTCAACTGTATACATAATATTTGTTATTGGAGTAGTTATATTAAATTGTTCTTTATCTAAAATTATAGGTAAGCAAATAATCGTTTATTCATGAGATTTCATCAATTTTGGAAATATTTAAGCTTTATTTTGGAAGAACAGAGAGACGAGGATCTATGTACTTCATTTAGCACTGTATATCCAATCGATATTTATTAATGGTTTGTACGTCATTTTCCGAAAACTTAACTTCCAACAAGTAGTAAAATGATGGGACTTGAATGTTTTTACTTCACTTTGAGCAAGGGAATAAGACTATTTATCAAATTATGTAGCTTAAAATTGAGTAAAAATGTCTGTATCTTGTAAATGGGTTAAATCAAATGATCTACTAAGATTTAAATAGACTAAAATAATCAGAAGTAAACTATATAGAAGAGCTTAGAAGTTTTTAATAGTTTTAAAAGGGCACATTAGTCAATTTAAAAAATATTTTATTGGAATGATGCAACTTCTGATTTCTAAAACTGAAACAACTACAAGGGACGAGGAGATTGGAGATGGATAATGAATCTTTTCATGCTAGTTAATTCTAACAACAAAAGTAAACAGTTTAAGATCAGGAGGTCGTTTTATAAATTAGAGTTAGATTAGGTTTTCAGGGCTAACAATTCAGATAACACTTTTTTACAAACTGGCATCATCATCTGTGAAGCAAGGGTTAGTGTTACACAGAGCGTCTATTTATCATTCTTGCTTTTGTCCATATAGATGAACAAATTTTGATCATTTTCAATCTGTTTGATTTTCCATAAAGTTTATTACCACATCAAGAACTTTCAGGTTACTTTGAAAAGAAATTCGACAATGATGTTATTCACTGTTTGCCCGGAATTATAGTGAATTTCCCATCTTTACCCAAAGAATCATTTCACTTCATTCAGAGTCTTTTTATTCGTTAAATCTGTCAGTAGTTTTCGCCATCTAGATAACGAAATATGTCAGCAAGTTTTACTGAGTTTTTATATGGCTCTCAATAAGCTACAGGTTTCGATTCTGTCGTAAATCCTGAAGCTTAGTATTGAAGATGCTAACTAGTTAGGTTTCAAATGAAAAATGAAATAGGTGGCTGACTCCTTTTTCAGGTTAACTGTTTCTACTATTCACTTGGTACAATTAAATTTGTAGTCGTTTTTGTTTATTAAAAATCCTCCATCTTATTACATAATGAAGTTATTTCAGAACGATAAAATGAAATTAGCGAAATTCGCTTGAATATTTAATGGGACAGTTTCATAAAGCTGAACATTGAATATGTCAAAAAGATGATATATAAACATACTTTTTCTATTTTAGTTATATTTTTGATGAAATTCAAACCAGATAACTGCGTAAAACTTTAGAGCTATTTCATTTCAACCTCTTCGAGTTCTATTAGCATAATCCTATTTGTTATATCATATTAATAAATTATTTTTTTTGGAATATAATTAAATTTTGCCTTTTCACTATTATTTTTTTCTGTTTGTTAGACAACTTATTTGTCACTTTTCAAATCTATCGGTATTTAATATAAATATTCGAATTAACTGAAATAGTAAGTTTGTACAAAGCTGAGACAACTGTACAAAATCACAGTCTATCTACTATAGTTTACATTCAATTTCTTATCTACATTTAAGGAGGAAATAGATTACATGAATCGTTTCAATGGCTAAAATTTAGTAAAATAAATGAATGATCAGAAATATTATTCACTGAAATCCTAATTAAACTATATATTCTGATAAAAATTTTTTTTCTTTGATCTTTTAAATACTCTAACATTCAAATGATATAACAGTTTACGTGATTATGAGAGTTCAGTTTTATATTCAAAATAATTTTTGTATAGCTTATAGTATTTTGCTGCTACACGATTAACATCTGAAATTTTCTGTATGTAATGAGTTAAGCCTGCTATTTTGCTAGATGTAAGGATGTAAGTTCATTTATTAAAGAGAATTGTAGATCCATAAGTTGATTTTATACAATATTAGCAAAGTTATTTTACTTGGTCCAGTCTACTGTCAACCAAGGTTTGTAATTTGGTTAGTAAGTTTAACGAATTGCCATATAGTTCGATGCTTTTTAATGGGAGGAATGTAACACTTATAGAGATCATTAGCTCCTAAGGAGAATACAAACATATAAATTTCTACTTGCTACTTTCTGTTGGCATGTTTGAAATTGTGCATTCATTTACTTTAAATTAAATGAAAACAATTTATCGTCATTCCAGTTTATATTCTATGAAATCAGTTATATCATTCAGTTCAGTAAAGCGAATTCAAAACAAAATTTATTCAAAAACAAAACAACACTAACATATTTTAATTTGTATATATTTTCTTAGATTGCCTTTTTAAATCACTAATCTATTTGTGCAAGTATAAACAACAGTTCGAAATCGTAGTTATCAAATGGTTAATTCTATGAGAATCAAATATTTTCAAAACAACTTTTTAGAAGAGTTTGTATTATAACTGTACAGTTCTATTAACTTCTTCTAAATGTCATAAAGTCAATAAATTAGAAATTTATTTTAAATGGTTAATTATTTAAAATAAAGTACTATTTGAGAAAAAAGCAGATAAAAAACTGCAGATTACTGAATATTCATTATACTCTGTTGCAGTAAGTAGAAGAATTTTACATGTATAACTCTCTTTCGCACACAATATTAATAAATACAACTGCTAGGTTCGTCACTAAGTATGCTTGAAACTATAACGGGTTCACCTTAGTCGATAAACGAGAACCAGACAATGAACCAGCGTCCAGGTAGGCTACTCTGATCTACTGACTAATGAAAATTCTTGATGTAGCTTAGAAAGTATATTCTACTAACAACCAGCGAGCACAATGCAGTCAAGCACACAAATTTCGTTTATTTATACATCATAGAAACGTCCTTGGGACAGTCACAAAAATAGCACACTAAAATACACAGCAACCAGTCATAGCCAAGGATTTTCCTGGTGGGAAATGAAATCTCAAGGTCAACTGATCAGCCCATGCTCGCAAACGTGAAATCCAAAATAAGGCATTTATCAAGCGAGTTCCGGTGATCTAACGTCCCCAACAACAGTATGTTCTGAAACAGTGAAATTATCATTATTCAGAAATATATGTATAAATATTTCATTAGAATGAGTTTTATCAACTGCCCTTATGATTGTTAATTTTTATGACAAGTCACAAGAATGTATAGTTTTGTTTGATGTATCATTCTCATAGTAATATTGTTCAAATGATATCTTCATCGTACTATAAATGTTCTAAGAAATTATTCACTTGAGAAAATTTATTTTTCTTCACAGAAACACTTACTTAGTTTTACATTCAATGACAAGATCACATTTAGTTGTCGATTTTCATAATATTGATCAGTAACAGTTAGATAGTCTCGCTTCGTATCACCACACATACAACTTTCATTTGTCGATGTGGAAGATGTAAGCACTAAAAAAATGGTAAAAGAACAATTATTATGTACAGTATAATATTAAAATTTTAGCTAAATTGTTCATTATCGTTAAATATGTTTTCACGCTTTGTATATGCTAAAAGCTGCAGTTTAGTACATCAATACACTTCACTGTATTAAAAATATAACAATAAGTTCCTAGTAGACTGGAAAACTAGATGTATATACAAGCGATAGGTATATATATATATAGTCATGGCAGTTATTTTCAATCGGTCAATATCTTATATTTGTCATCATTTTGTAGATAATTGAGCTAAAATTTTTTCCTTCTAGTACTTTTTTGTTAATTTGATTATGAAGATGTTTTATCTAGGCGTCGACTACTGATTATTTAAAAAACCAAACATGTTCTAGTGGTTTGGTTATTGTTATCACATCAAATAACTATTTTAAATTGAATTTCATCAAAGGCTAAACTTACATTGCATGATGTAAAAGAAATATTTTACAGTGATCATTTAGCTTGTTGAATCAGTAGTTTGCTTACAAACCTGCTTTCATAAATGGTTATGGACTCTAGGGAGAAATGTCACAAATATGTTTTTAAATTGTGCTACAAGTGTTGTTATCATTAATAGCGGTAATAATGAATCCGATAGAATGTATGGTTTTTTGGGAAACATATGAAAGTATTCAGCTTGATCAGCAGGACCTATATGACGGACTCGGATTTACAGTTAGATGGGAAGTATGGTATTAACACGTTTAAAGCATTTAACCAAACATTTCTCTTCATTGACGTCAACAACATGGAACCATAACATATTTCAATAGTATTTTGGTGACCTTTGCCATTCCTTAATTAACACTTGAAACATACTTTCATGTTCATTGTTTCTATGTAATCGGTTTATATTCTTAAGGGGGTGTTTTTTCGACTGTCTGATTTCGATAGAATAAATCGCCCTAAGATTTATCTAAGTTATAATTACAGACGTTGACTAATAAGTATCCTGTGATCAGGATTTCTTACTTCTCAACTCCAGTTGTCAAAAACTCACTCATAGCAAATACTCTAAGCTAATTACTACATGTAATTTTAACTTTTCGAGTCGACACAGCAACTAGAAAAGTCAACATTAAAAGAATTTTATTTAAATATGAACAAATATTAAGCCATGGGAAATAATTTAGGTAAACTTACTTGTTTCTGTTTTTTGCGATGGAATTTGTATTGTAGATATGTACAATGTTGCTGGATGACTTTTCAATTCAACTCCTTCAAAAAGTGAAACCGCTTTCACCTATAAATTAAAAGTGGAATTAAAAATTACGAGAAATTCAATGAAGAAAATAATAAGAACATTTGATTTCATTTTATTTGAAAGCTGTAAACAAGGTGTTTTTAATATATAGATCATATTCTACATCATACCAAAACCTGTGACCTAAAAGAAATTTATATTTGTCTGTAATAATTCCCATCTAAATGTTCAGTTTTGATACCGTAACTAATCAATGAAACCGGTTGAGAATCATGTTATATCAAAACATCTAATCCTGTATTGCATTGTGTTTTAGCTTAAACAATAATCAGAAGCTAATAAAGTAGTAGGCTGGTTATATTATAATTCATTGTATTCCAAAATCTAGAGAAATATCCTAGAAAGTGCAGAGTCTTTCTTTAATCGAACACTACAAGTTTTACTGTTTGTGAATCCTATGATGTGAAGGATACTTAGTGCTCAGTGAACCTTTATTTTCTCCCGAGATTGAAGTTTATCCTTTTAACTAAACAAATTGCTTCAGTTTTTACTATCTCATTAGTTAAGCAATAACTATTACCATATTATATTAATACTAAAATATTTATTGAAACTTGCGCTCTAAAGAATTTGATTCATTAATCAATTCGTAGTTTATAAAAATCATAAAACCTTTCAGCTTATCACCAAATCTATGACTTACTTCAATTTTATACGTTGTTCCTGGTTTAAGATTTTGGATTAAATATACTGTTTTATCCTTAAAAAAAAACAACATAAAAGTATTTACATTTAAATACAACACATTTGATTCCACAATTATTATTTATACACTAAGATTACAAGCTATAACCTGATTTTCCAATCTTACAATTTAAACCTTTTTTACGGATGGAACTATTTTCTATTTGATATAGGACCACATTAATGTGATTAGTACAAGGATTTCACTACGACAAAATCTTACATAAATCACCAGTTTTTAGTCCATAACTTAGATGTATCTCTATTGAAATCAGTTATAAACCAGTATATAATTGAACAACGTCTTTTGACCAAAAGGTATGATTTATTTCAATAGGATTGTAAAGATTATATTACATTAGATGATTATTTTGAAACGAACTAAAATAACCTAGCGAAGCGTAACAGACGTTAGACAGGTAGTGAACATAAAAACAAGCAGGTTGAACAGTGAACATTGAAGACCTCTTTCATAAGTAGTCGTACCCACGATTTTAAGTGACTACAACAATGAGGATTGTAAACGTACAGTTAAGAAAAAAAGCATCTTACAAATCATTTTTTCGTGTTTAGATGATATTCAATATTGATAAGAAATACTTTTTGTAACTATTTAAACTACTGACAAAATTGTCAGTAACATAAAATTCATAATAAAAACCTATTATGTGACTACTTTGATATCAACAGATCAAATCTTATTCGATCGATGAAGTATTGGAATTTATAGCCTGTAGAAATGTTTGGGATGATGGACACAACTCAAATGATCTTACTTTGTAATGAATGGACGGATAAGATTTATATCAAGTAGGTTGTATTGTAGCGTTTTCACAACTCAATAATGAATGAATGATTAAGACGTGTTATATTAGTCTTATAATATATTATCCTTTCTTAATCATGCTCAACTTGAGGTGTTTATCACAATGATCTTAGAACCACCGGTTATTGCTTAGCGAACTACTTAAATGAACCTTTGAGTTACCGCTTACAGGTTTACTTTCAAACTTATATCAATGTAAAATATAGCAAAAATAACAACGGAATATTTCATAAATTTGCTAAATAATATGCTATAATGTTTATACACCAACCAGTATGTCAATATAAAATCTAGTGAATTGAAAGATTTACTCGAAAAGAAAAATTTTACTCTTTGGTAACTTTTTCATGACAATTATTAGGTAGAAAATTCAAATATAATTTTTTGACAAAATTAAATGTTTGAAGAGAATGAATTTTATTTTGTTTACTTTAAGAGATTGATAAATATTTTTGTTTCACATAAACTTGTGGAACATAAAAATGCCTTAATAATAAACTTCATGAAGCATATAACCTTGGTTTGATGTTTCTTATTTCGGTTTTCCTAGAATTTCTCTAATACTGAGAAACGCCGAACACCCGTGTCTTGAACAAAAATTTTAATATAGAATGTATATTATTTGAAGATAATCAAAAAATTGATTGACAAACCTACCCCAGGTACATTCGCTGTGTATTCCGTTAGAGAACTTCTGTCTTCTCCATTAAATGCATAATAATGACGCCACGTTATCTGATCAATCAATACATAAAATAAATTTCATTCATTATCTATTTTTATTAATTGTTAGTTAATTACTGATAAGAAGCTAGAATTATTTTCAAAATATATTAACATGAATGATTTTATTTCATAGAGTTAAAACTAGCAATAAGAATTTGGTATTGATAATTTATTATATGGTACTAAACTAAGCTGATCCATTCGAGAGTATGGACGTGATAACACTACGGATGCTTCTTCGAAAATACGGTGTTCCTGAGAGGATAGTCAACATAATTTGATGGATTAGAATGCGAAGTCGTGCACGGAGGGCAGCTCACGGACTCGTTCGAAGTGAAGTCCGGTGTCATTAAAGGTTGCTTACTCTCACCCTTTCTTTTTCACCTGGTGATCGGCTGGTTTATAAAGACGTCAACATTTGTGGGGAAGTATGGTATACAGTGGAGAGCTAGGATGCAGCTGGAAGATCTGAACTTCACAGATGATCTGGCTCTTCTATCACACACGCCAAACAAAACGGAAGAGAAGACGACCAGTATGATAGCAGCCTTAGCAGCAGTAGGTTTCAGCATACACAAGGGGAAGATCATGATTTTCCAATACAACACAACATGCACCAATCAAATCACAACTGACGGTAAAGTGTTGGAAGATGTTAATACCTTTACATATCTGGGAAGCATCATTGATAAGGAAGGTGGATCTAATGCAGATGTGAAGATATGAAGCATTTCTAAAGTTGGAGGACATCTCTAACTCAAAACAACTATCAACCAACACCAAAGTCAGAATTTTCAACACAAATGTCTAGACAGTTCTGATGTTGGGGCGGAAACTTGGAGAACTACGAAAGCCATCATCCGGAAGATACAGGTGTTTATTAACAGTTGTCTACGCAAGATATTTCGGATCCGTTGGTCATACACAATGAGCAACAACCCTCTGTGGGAGAGAAAAGATCAGATTCAAGGGGAGGAAGAAATTAGGAAAAGGCTCTGGAAGTGAATAGGACACCGATTGCGCAAAGCATCTATAAGTTGGACCTCTCAAGACTTATGGAGAAAATGTGGACAAAAGAACACTTTACTAAGAATTGGAGACAAACATGAGAATAATGAATAGCAATCAGATAGAACTGGACGGGAAGGCCCAGGATAGGGTTGGGTGGAAAATGCTAGTCGGCGGCCTATGCTCCATTAGGATTAATGGGCGTAAGTAAGTAAGTAAACTAAGCTGGTGATGATGGAAAATAATTTGAGTTTGTAGTGTGAATAAACAACGTAACTAGGCTTGCACTTAACCAATAAATATTTTCGATTACAACATGCTATATCGGGCACTAGACATATATGATGTTCACACAAGATAAGTCTAAGTAAAACCAAGCCAATTGGTATCAATATAGAAAAGTATAGAAAAACGAGCAGAACTCTGCAGAGGAATCGAAAACTGAAGGGAATTCTATAGAGAATTTGCAACCTAATTAAAATACATAGTTCAGTAATCAGTCATTTCATTTAATATCTATGGAATATACATTTGTTTTCATCAGGCCACCTACTGAACTAAGAAAGGCATCATGATTAAGTCACATTTCAAGTTACCCAGTCACTTCTAGTTGACATATTCATTCAACTGGCTATTATTCTTATCGATAACTGGTTGAATTGTATTTAGGTTTTTATGCAATGCTTCAACCGTATGTGAATGATTTATTAATGAATGGTTTGTAAATGTTATCTAATCAGCATAACCAAGTTATGGATATGCAAATTAGGCTTGAAACGACTGTTATACAATAAGCTCACTTTTTACAGGCATTTGGATAGTTTTTCACGTTCATTTAATTTTAATCTAGCAAGCTACTTTTGATAATCAATTGTTTGTCATTAAATATTATCTAAACTAAACATTTTTCAGGAAATTTTAAATGAATGAAGTAATTACTGATTGCATTTAAGGAATAAATTTTAGAATGTGAACAAAAAGATTAATTGTTCTAGTGCTTCATTAACAATTTTCATTTGAATGATACCATGTTGTGCGGTAATGGGAATATACAAAACAAAGTTCTAACATGTAGTGAAGTTAAATAGTCATCATTTTTTATGTCAGTAGTTCAATCAATTTACGTGAAATAACATATAAACAGGGTTTAATGCATTTATGTGTTATGGGCTTATAATTGACTTATACTAAATTAATTATTTACTTTGTACTGTTGAAATTTCGATAATTAATTTACAAAGGATGTAATATTACCTATAGGCAATTGAAAGTACCGAAAGCCGAAAAATTCTCTTTAGAAATTCATGCATAATAATAGCATTTTTTTCCTGAGGAATAATAATACTTAAGATGTAAGCCTTGCTTTGTACCAAAACAATGGTAATATTAATTTATAATAAAACTAGAATTATGATATTGTAAGGCAACATTTTGAACAATCAGTAAATTTTAGAATATAAGATATTGTGATATGTGAGTATTATCAGGGTTTGATAGTGGTAAATAACTACTTTCGAACGAATGTTGTCAGCTTTTCATCATCATGAAATCGACAAGCTTCTAGTTAACACTAATAATTAGAATTTCATTGTTGTAGCTAAATTATCATGACAACCTTTGAAAAACTAAATCTAAAATCTTATCTTAACTTTTTATCGCGATAACTTACATAACTTATCGGCTTTTTGTAAAATCTCATGACACCATTCTTCAGAAAAGGCACTGATATATATTACTTTCGGTAGCTTGTATGTTATACAACAGCGTCGAGCATTTTGTGTTTTATAATACTGGAAGTAAATAAAAGTCAGACGAATATTTTATCACTACTTCTAACCGTATGGATAGTGAGGTTGAGGAAATTGCTGTACTTGGTTGAAATTATAAATTAATCTCAGTTAGACTGGTCGTTTTGGATGACCGCTTAGTTATGCTGTTTAGCAGTACGAAACCATGATGTAGCAACCGGAATTCTGACCAGGAAATTTAAAGCTCCTACATGAACGCCTACATTCTAGATCACTGAGCCTACATCGGTTGGTGTACAATTCTAACTTCAGTCATTTCACAACATTGCACAACCATTTTGCATTGTCTCCGGGCATATAACTTCTCGAACTCAACGCGGTCTAACCCCACTGGTCACTGTTTTTCATTGAATCTCCGGGAATTCATTTTCAAAGCTAGTAACTGATGAGCACATGATAGTACGTTTTCATCAATCCAAAACCCAAAAGCAGTCATTTTTATGTTAATTTACTTGGTATAATCAGCAAACGAAGTCAGTATAAAAGTATTGTATTTTCAAAAACTTACTTTGAGCTATTTGACAACTTATTTTCTTTTCAAGTCATTTTTATATGAAGTTGTTACGTTAATACAAATAAATGAACAGTAACGAAGTAATGTATATATATATTTTTAAATGAGTAAGAAATTTGTTAGAATTTCAGTTGATAATTGGTAGAGAATCAACGTTTTTTATAGTCAAAATTTTCATTACGGGGTTGTGAAGATTGTTAAGTTACACATTTTTGAAACCATGAATCGATCAATGTTAGACCACCATTAGAAACCTGGAAGCACTGGACGGCCGTTTCGTCCTGGTATGGGACTCCTCAGCAGTGCGCATCCACGACTCCTGCACCCCGCAGGATTCGAACCCAGGACCTTCGGTATTGTGCGCGAACGCCTAACCTCCGGTTTCTAATGGTGTTCTAACACTGATCGATTCATAGTTACAAAAGTGTGTAACTTAACAATCTTCACAACCCCGTAATGCAAATTACCTGTGCTCACTAGTGACTAGCTTCGTGAGGAATCTTCTCCGAGTTCTAGTGGGAAGACGTGACCAGTGAAGTTCAACCTGTTCGGGTGTAGACAGTACCTACCGAAGACTGTGTATGAGGTTGCGCAACTCCGTGAATATGATCAAGTTAGACATTAACACCGTTAGATACCGGCTCAGTGGTCTATCGGTTAGGGCGTTGGCGCACAATACCGAAGGTCCTGGGTTCGAATCCTGCGGGGTGCAGGAGTCGTGGATGCGCACTGCTGAGGAGTCCCATACCAGGACGAAATAGTCAAAATTGATAACCAGAAAATAATCAAACTGTCTTCAGAGAAATCCTTCAACTTTCCACATTAAACCGATCGGAAAATCACGTTTGCGTTCATGGAACCTCAAGCTATCAGAAAGTTCAAACTACTTTTATATAATAAGCAATATTTTATTGTTAATTTACACCTGATTTGTGAGTTTTTATTCATTTAAATACTAGAATTGATATTCAGATTAGTTAATTTTTTTTACATTGCTTTATATATTTTATCTGGTTTCTGTTAAGTTCATCATTTGGTACGCTTGAAGCTATTACGAGTTCACCTTAGTTGATAAACGAGAACCAGAAAATGAACCAGCGTCCAGGTAGGCTACCTTGAATCCCCGAACTACAAAACAGAAGTCTCGGTAAGCGTAGAAAGTATATTCTACAACAACCAGCAATCACAATACAATCAAGCACACAAATCTCGTTTATTTATACATCATAAAAACGTCCTTGGGACAGTCACAGAAATAGCGTACTAAAATACACAGCAGCCAATCACATCCATGGATTTTCCTAGTGGGAAATCAAATCTTAACTGATCAGCCCATGTTCGCAAACGTGAAATCCAAAATAAGGCATTTATCAAGCGTGGATCTAACATCCCCAACAGTTTCACATTAAATGGTTTGACATATTAACGAATTATCATTTTCTCCAAATCATATTGAACAAATAAAAGAAATTTTTCAAATCATATTAAATTTTTATTTTTCGATAAAAGAATCCTTTTACTAAAGTATTTAGAAACAAAAACTTTAGAAATAAAGATATTCAGTTGACCACTGAACACATTTTAATGATTTTGGCAGCTGAATTAGAAAAAAACAACGATAGAATTAACATTCAACTCACCTGGTACTTTTTGAGCGGGAATGTTATTTCCTCTGGAATATCCCAATGAATTGTACTATCTACATGATTTTCAAAAATTCTTGATCGTATTTCAGTAAGATTTCGAGGTCGTGACGGTGGAATTAATTGAACATGTGTACGAATAGGTTCACTTGGTTCACCCCATCCTCCAAAACCTTCACTTGAAATAGCTAATAAACGAAACTGGTACCATGTTCCTGGATTTAGATCAGATAGAACAGCGCCAAGTTTTGTAGTCTGTTAACAAATAAACAAGTGAAATATGTAGTAAACAATTATTTGAATGTTTCAAAATATTGTATTTACATAATGAGAAAATTTTTTCAGATTTATTAGTTGTCAAATCAACAATTTTTGAGAAAAAAACAGTTTAAAGTTGGCAGACATCACTAAATGAAATCAGCTTGAAAACCATTAAGAACTAGGTAGTACAATGAAAAAATGTGCCAATAAACGAAGTTCAATTACAAAAGTGATGGAGAGAATACATTAAAGTAGGGAAGATTGATAAAATCGTTTACTAAGTATTTACCTGGCTATAAGAAAGAATTGTTGGAAACATCTTTTTGATTTATATATTGTGTCAGCTGGTAGAACTATACTCACTTTTGTGGTATTTAAAAAGAGTTAGAACCACTTTGTAAGCACCATAAATAACTTTAAATAACTTATTACTTCTTATTGCAGGGACGAAACAGGAGATACTAACTAACTAATCCCATAAGTGCACTCTCATTCTTGACGCATACATACATATCTATATCTATTAACAATAATATTAGTACAGAGTTAGGCCACACCTTATTACAGGTTAACAGATTTGTGTAGACAGTGACCATCCATCCCAATAGATGACATTAGAATGTGTAAGGTTTTCAAAATTTTCTAGTTTATTGAAAATTCTAACCTAAGCTCTATCGAATTCTTTAATAACGTGAGTTTACAAAATAAAAGTAACTTATGTTCATTCACAAAATTTCGGCTAATTTTTCAAAATCCTATTAAATTTTACCAATTCAGTTACTTTAATAAAAATAAAGCCGAACGAATGAAATACTCTCTTACCCAAATTAAATTAGTCCATTTATCAAATAAATATTCATTTGGTTGAAATGATTCTATGAAATTATTCACTGGAAAAAATGATACACTATTAGTTGATGAATGTGAAGGTGAGTTTAATGTATTTACAGTAGGATACATTCGAAGTTGAATAAGAAATATAATTGGACTATGTTCATTAGTTGATAAATTATAGTAGTTTGACCAGTCTAATTCTAATTGATTCTGTTGCCCATTTGAATGTAATTGAATGGAATTTTCAACTTGTTTAACAACTGGTTTACTGGGTACCGGTGGAACAGCTAGGAAAATGAAAGACAAAATCAATATGAAAAAATCGAAACTATTCATGCTCATATTTATCATGTAAGTATTAATTCAGAAGTATCAATGAAAAGATACAGTTTATATTCAAAATATTTAGTTGATTATTGAAAATTTAATGATTCAAGCATTAACCATTAAGAAGTAACGATACTTTTTTGAGTTAATAAAAGTAAAACAGTTTTCTAAGTCCCTGTTTAAGACTACATTATTAGAAGTTTTAAAGCTGACTTTTTCATAGCTTTCAGCGGTCATATAAGTGTTGAGTTTATGTCTAAAGAAATTCAGTGTTTTTATTAGTTAACAGCAGACGCCAACCTGCTGTATGGTACAGAGATTGTACTTTGTTATGAACATATTATTTTAGCTTACTTCACAACTTATTGAATTTTGAACAGTAATTCAAAAATAAGCTCGTTATTCCCTCAAAGTTGGAAATCTTCAAGATTGTATAATAGTGAACAAATATTTGGACGTTTTTCATTACTTTAAACAATGATCGTTCTCATGTCTGTTAATTTCGCAGGTGATATAATATCAGTTTATTCAAGGACAAAGGTTCCTACAAAACAATAAAGCGTTTTGAAGTATGATGAAGACGCAGATAATAACAACTCATTCGCTTTCCAATTCGTTCTATAGTGATTCTGGCATAAAGAATGCAACCAGTTTTTCACCAGTGTCATAGAAACTCATGTAACCGATGGAGCTGGGCTTACTTATGAAAGTGAGGTTATAGCAGCTCAGAAGTGTGTAACGATAGATCAGAATGAGAACGTTATTATCTATGGAAGATAGGAAAAGCCATCAAAGTAGATTATACTGTTATTTAAAGAAGTGTCTATCCAAATTATTTAAAACCCTATAAAAGGTTATCAGGGAAAATAATTCCAAACTATTTGAATGAATTTGTTCATAAAGTCTATTTCTAGTTAAAACATGAAAAAATTTTACATTATCTTTAAATGTTCATTATTCTATAGAAATTGGACATTGATTCCCATATTACTCGTCATTATTATTACTCATACTTTTCATTGGCTTGCTCACTGATAAAAAAAATCACGTATACTCACAATCATTCTAAGGGTAACTCAAATTTATCTTCATACTTAATTTTTATTTATGATTATTCTCCAACTATTTTCAGTTCGTGATAATATCGATCTTTGACATGAGCAAATCATAGAAAATATGAAAAAAATTGTGTTACATACAAAGATTTTTAATTTTGTTCGTCGACACGTGATAAATTATAATCAGTTATGCATACAAGAAACAATGTTAATTTATAAAAAAAAACATTTTGGAAAATTTATTATGCTTCTCTTATCTAGATTAAAAATAACAAGCTTTGTTAAAACTTTTAAAAATTCTAAGAGTAATTCTAATATAAATCTATGAGACTTAAAAGACATGTGTAGTCAGATAGAATACTTTTCATATTATTCTTAAAGATTTTATCATATGTGAGCTGTACGGTATAATAAACTATAAAGTTGAATCCCTGATTTATCTATGGAAGTACTGCATATACTAATGAAGACACGTAGAAAATAATCAGTTATCCATTCCGCTACTGATTTTATGCGTGAATCTTCCATGATTCAAATTCAACTGTCAATTTATAAAACATATTTAACGTCGTAATTTCTGAATGCATTGATAGAATACCAATGAGGTTTTTCATAACCGAGTCGATTATATGTCCTTCAATCTGGTAAACAACTGTTTACAGATACTTGTAATTAGTAAAATGTGATAACTGTTATTTAAATGATATCGGATAAATATGTAACGTCTACCATTTTGTTGTCAAATTAGTTCATGTAATAGGAAATATGTTGAAAATTCGAGTATGTTCTTGTGTCAGTTTTTATCAAAAACCTGTAACAAAATTCATATGACATGCTTATACAGATGAGTTTTGATAATTCTCAAAAGATAATGTTATTGATAAAAAGAAAACGGCCAGTAGATAATTTTCATACTTATAGATTGGAAAATGTTTTCAAATGATTCTAAAAAATTTACAAATTATTCTTTTAACCAGAGTTGAAGTTAATTCATACTGTCAGGTTACCTAAAATGTATAAAGACTTCTCCTGATTACGAATTCGAACTCATGCAGACTACTTTCTGCACTATTTCTTAGAGTAGTAGGTTGATTCAAAACATCTACCCTAAAGTAGGATAATTACTGAAACAAAGTCAAATTCATCATCGAAGATGAACTAGTTGGAAATAAATCGATAATCTAATTGATTGAAGGTCAAAATAAACTATGGAACTCTGAACAATAAAACTGTATTAGTACATCACATATGAATGAATTTATACATATAGCCGTAGTCACCTGATTTCTCTCTGATTTGTATTTTCACACGAATTCCATGAAATATTTGAAGTCATTTTTATATAAACAAATTATTCGACTTTAGTACTGATCAGCAATAAACAAACATTAAGTAGTAACTATTATAAGATTGTTTCATCTTGTCTAATGTTGATCACATGTTATAAATTATATTTATATAGTATAATCATAAGGCAAAATAAAATGCAATCATTTTAATCTTTATTTACTGATAAATGATTGACTGGAAGCGCTAAAGGCTTGTTTCATTCTAGTTGTCGGTCAGTAATAATACGAACAATAAAACTTGATTAGTTATCACACTGAGAAAATAGACTAATTTTTTTTTTGAAAAGTGGTTCATTTACATTAAATTTTATATAGGAAAATGTTTTTTACTGTGCTATATTTCATGGGAAGGAAACAAGTTCATGTTTATTTTTAGTTGGATAAATTGTCATAAATTTTATTCCAAAAATCAACATATGAGCCAACGAAATACCACCTTCTTTAACGCTTATTCCAATTTTATATATATATATATATATATATATATATATATATATATATATATATATATATCAGTAGTTTACTCTTCAAACTAAAACAATTACATCAATGATAGTCAAAACTTACTTTGAGGATCATAAACGCCTTGAGTGCATACACCAATTTGTGTAAAATTTTTCACATAATTTACTGACATTTTCTGTTGTAAATTTTTGTAACATTTCATTGTTTGACAACACTTAGTATAACCATACGAAAGACAATCAGCATTTTGTTTACACACATATTGACATGATTCTGGCCATGTATCGGAATTAGGACAAAATGCATTATTAGGATTATGTTTCAATTGATCTGACTGACTATAAACTTGTTGAGCTGTATAACATGCTTTCAAGCATATAGATTTAGTATTTTGTGATTCAAGCACGTGGGTTAAGGAGGAGGATAATGAAGACGACGCCGAGGGTGAAGATATCGACGATGAAGATGATGATGATGATAGAGCTGTTGAAATGGAGTCGCCTAATTCATTTGAATTTGACATTGATGTGTATTTCTAAGTTTCATTAAAACACAGAAGAATGAAAACATTGTCGATGAATCAAAAGTGGTTAGTGAAAATGAATACATAAACTACGAAAGAATTAGCTAATTGAATGAGAAATAAATAATTTTTACTGATATTATTATGAATTTTATCAATTGGTAAGTTGTGATCTAATTAGATAACCACATTTTGGATGGATGATTAATGAGGTAGACTTTCATGTAATTCACATTTTAATGATGCTTATATAGTTTGAATAATTCCAGTGTATGGTTGGTTAATTAGTAGTTTAACAAATCAATAATAATTTTTTTGAAATGAGTTTCTTCATCTATCATCTAAAAATTAATCATGTACTTGAATATATGTATGTAGATGTATACAAACTAGTGAATGCTTTATTCCCCACAGTCATAAGCCACCTATTATCTATGCATCCCGTAGATTCATTAGATAGTGGTTAGTTAGCTATCCCTAACTAGAGATATACATATCTCATTAATTTAAATGGATAACTACGGAAATGATCTGATGCTGTTCATTAGCCTTTTCAGAATTTAGAATACAGTTATTCAATAAGGCAAGTTTTTTTAATTATAGGAAGACCCAGAAAAAAATCAATTTTTTTTAACACTATTAATTTACATCGACTTCTTTTGCTATTTTATTAATTTTACAGATATTAAATTAAGCTGATTGGATTGTAGTGTTGATTTTATTTAAATTAAGCCTTTATTATCTGATAGAATGGATTATAAAATAGTTTTCTATATATTTTGTTACATGGGTCGCTTTGGTTGATATTAGTGAGTGTTTTAGTGCCATAAAATGATATTCATTCCGTTGTTATAAGATTGTAATTTGGCTAACTAAACTCCTAAATAATTAATACTTAATAATAGCGGTCCTTTTTGCTTTATAGGATTGTTATTGTTATCTGGGAATATTTTTGAAAGATTTATTCGATAGAGTTCTATCACTTTCGATTACCAGAGAGTATAACATTGATTAAAACTCACTAATCAGCTAACACAAATTTCTCACTTTCACATGATATCGCTAACATACTGACGTGTCTGTTTAAAATATTGGTTCTTTGAAGTTCAAAATTCTACTGGGAAATGAATCTCCTTTAGGTCTTTATCAACGACATACTGACAAATGCCAACTAACATGAGACCTATATTCAGCTCTTCTTTCGAACTAATCAGTATTATCTAACAATAAATGTAGTGCATTCTTATTGTCAAATTACTACCCTGTGTGATAGCATTGCAAAGCTGATTGTTAGTATTCACTCACTACCACAGGATACACTACATAGCGCTGATTACTGATATTTCTTTATATAATTCTTATTACTCACAGATGTAATTTGAACAACAAACAATGACAAATGTCCGATAAGAATTTACTTTATATCATGTCACAAGTTTAGTGATCGATTCTGACTACTCTTTTATCTGACAACCACAATCACAACTGTCATTTCGATAAAGATTGATCGAAACATATGTCAAAAGTTATTTGCGAAACTATAAATTATTATTATTATTACTATTATTATTCATGTGATTGCAGAAGAAGAAGAACTAATGAACAATTATTGACTGATCTAACGTCGATCATCTGTTATTATGATTTACTTGTTAGCTTTAATAAAAATATATCTTAATTCCTAGCTGGATAAGTATGACCTTATGAAAAGTCTTACACTTTACATATAATTGCATATATATAAATCTATATTGAATGGACAAAAAAGGCCAAAAGAATTAAACAAAAGGAGAATAAAACAAAGAAACTGTCGGTGATATAAACTCTGCAATGAACTTGCTGAAATCGGATAATGATTAATAAGTCAAAGTATAAACTGAATGTTTCTGTATGGTTAAAAATAAAGAGAATAGAAGAAGGTTGCATTGATTTAATTTTAAAGTGAATAAGCAGTTAATTAAATAATTAATTTGTTTTGTTTTTATTTTGTATTAAAAACCATCAACAATTTAAACTAGAAATAGTGTTCAATGTATTTCTTTGTTTTTTTGTTTTAATGTTTCATTCTATTTGTCCATTCGAATTCGCTTAGTTTTATTTTGAAGTGGATCAATAAAATAAAGTGTTTTAAAATTACCGGGTATGATGATTTTCTACTATTTCAGTTGATCGCATATTGATAGACAGTTTAAGAATGGTCTGAAACTTATTGAATGGATTGAATTCATAATGTATGGCAGTGGTGGAAAATATTTTATATGGAATTTTTCATTAAACTGTTATAAGCGTTTGATTTAATAATATAATTAGAAACTTTTTATTTGAATCTAATTTCGATAAGCACAAATACTACTCAAGTCAATAATTTTATTCACAGTAAAATGTGAGACTGATCAGTAGTTTTCGACTCCCTAAACCAAATTCGTTGGTTGACTTCTTCAACATCACTAAGGTTATGATTTAGACAGAAGTTTGTTTATGATGATCGGCCACATTCTCAACACTGATAAATACATTTATATATTGTATTGATTGAAATAAATATGCACACATGTTTTGAAAATGATGTATATATGCAATGGGATACAAATTCTTGAATGAAACTATTTTCACTGGTAATTAAAATATGTAAATTTCCAAAAAAAACATCTGGGGAATATCATAAGCAATATTCATCTCTTAAACAAAACAATAAAATTAAACAAATAATTAGGATGTCTTATTTGTGCACATCATTTAAACTCATGTAATTTAATTACTGATTAAGCTAAAGTAAATTAACTTGAAAGGGTATGCATAAGAAAGTTTATAAACCTTATTATTAATCAGGTATATTATACACTAATGTAAGTTATTGTGGGTTATAATATCAAAAAGGGAATGAGATCAAAGGAAAAATAAAAAAAATAAGTTTCTGGTTAAATAAAAAAGTTTTTCTAACAGAATAATTAATTTGGGGCGTAACCTAAAAGTTTAAGCAGAACATTCCTACAACGGATTATTGGTCTAATCGACAAATATTTATTCTATTTAAAAGATGTTCAACGAATGTAAACTTGTGCAATATCGAAATATTTTATTACTTATATTGTTTAGTATTCTGATTATTTCTTATTAGTACTTAAAATTGCATTCGCTTCACCATGACTTAACTAGAATTAATTTTATGCAGGCAAGAGATAAGTTATGAATTGATTTTTAGTCTTGATTGACATTTATGGCAGAGTTAATACATGCGATTTTACATAATAAATGCATTTCTTACAGCTTATATTGACTGGCAATGTACTTTGTTTGATGATATCTACAGTTTCACCTAAATCAAATCGAACGTTCAATGATTATCCATCGAAATACTTTTAGATACAGAAAAAATTACTCAAACTCAGTGGTTTATTCTGAAAGTCAAATTATCTAACAAACACTATAATAATAAATAAAACTTAGATTGAAGATAAAAATTATTCATATTGGTTCTTTTCAATGCAAAGTGAAAGTTTCGAGTTTGTATTTTAAATAAGCTTAATTTTTAAATGATAAGTATATGTTTCATTCAAAGAATATCAACATATGTATGTTAAAAGTTCTTTGGCTAGAATTTTACTTTTCGTTAGACTATCGTTCATAATTTCATGCAGTAAAGTGGAGTTTATGCAAGTTTGCTTGTAAAGTCATGTATTAAATATGTAAATGAGTAGAGTTTTATTTATGAATAAAATATACTTTAATCAAAATTGTACTATCTTAAAAAATTATTTCTATTTTAAGTGTCACTATCTTCATTTGTAACAGCTAGAAAGACCAAAAAATATTTACTAACAATAAGGATGATCAATAGTTTTGTAATAAAATCTACTTAAATTCATTTTTGAATGTATAAAAAAAACATTACTCAACTCTTAACACTTTTATTTAACTCTCTTCAGTTGAAATTATGATTACTATTATTTTATAATTCGGTCTAAAAACTTTATTCACTTATTGATAAACTATGAGCTCTACCTGTTACGAAAATACATCATTTATCAATAAATTATTTTAAAAATATGAATAAAATGTCAATTAATACACTGAAATTATTATTAGTAAGTATCAGTAATAATAGTTACTATTATCAAAATAATATATTTAAAACTTTGGGTGTATTTTGGAATTCGACTGGTAAGTTATGGAATTTAATGTGATAAACTGAAAATGAATTTTTTCTTTTAAAATTTGATTAACAGCTTAAAATATTCTGAATTTTTTCAAATAATCAGTGGCAACACTTGTATATAAAGATGCAGTAACAGCGAGATTAATAAATAGAGATAACTTGATTTTTTATCATTTTTTTGTAAGTGTAGTAAACAGTTTTTGATTTTTATCAATGTTTATTACGAATAATATTGAAAAGATAAATATTGAACTTTGAAATAGTATTGACTAGGTGTAGAATGATCATTTCAATCACAGTGTCTGATAAACAATAATTGCAAAAAGGAAGAAAAATTATTCACTTTAATTTTAAATGATATGACATTTTGATTTTTTTAAAAAAATGCCTTTTTTTAGATAATCAATCAATTAATTTAAATAAACAAAATGAAGCAATCTCTCTTCCAACATTTTGATAATCAATTATGTAATTAGATTTTGTTTTCACTGTTGACTCGAAAAAGGGAAAAGATAACGATCATGTATTTATTGGAAAAAATGAATAAGATGAAAAAAAACTGTTTTGTTTGCTGCATTATACACCTAATTTTTTCTGTCTCTTTATTGTAGGCATTGAAACAATCTGGGTAAATTTTTGGGTTCTTGGTCAATTCGAAGATTGTCTGGTTTGTAGCTAGCACTAAAATTCAGGATCCCTATTTCTTCCTGTTTAATGTTTATCAGCTGGTTGATATAATTAATTCAAACTTTTAAAAAATGGCTACATCATGGTAATCCAAACAAGATGTACAAGTACCAACTAATACCTTTACAATCTAGGCTAAACATATCGACAACAAAAT